CCGTGTCACTCCCTGTTAGGAGGCCGGAGTCCATGACATTGAACTCCCACCCAACCTGTGAAAAAAAATCGTCTTCAATGAGTCTTTCTTCCAGGCGTCTTAGCGACGGTTCAGTTATTCTATATTTTCTGCTAATAGACTTGTACCCCACCATGTGCTCCCCCCGGTGTAGCACCAAATCTATGATAGCCGCGCACTAACGTGTTTTATAAGCAGCCCAGCGATTCATATCCACTTGTTTGCGTTCCTGCCTGCGACGCTTCTGCCATTCTCCCCAAGACTGAGGGGGGTTCTATCTCTCGTGTTGTTCCTTTCGTAACCGTGCCCCTTCTGCGCCCCCCAAAGCGTTATTAATGTATCCGCTTATGGCGGCTAATCGGGCCTAGTCCTTGGGGGCGAGGTGGTCCTGTCTGGGCCACCACACCCCCGAGGGCAGGCCACCCAACCCCGCTTCTTGTATTTCCTCTAATCTATCTGGTAGGGCTTCCCTATCGTGCTCAGCTTCCCTATCGCGCGCAACTTCTATCCGCCGCCTGACTTTCACCCCTGCACGTCTCCTTCCCCCCTTCTTGTTGTGTCTGTGCCGGCGCTTTCGACCATCCTTGTAACGTTGGCCCCTGTTCAGGGGCCGCTTTTGACCTAACACAGGAACAGAATATGGTGTTTCCCCAGCCAGGTGACGGCAGGTACTGCCACATACTGGTGGTGGCACCGAAGCAAAGACAATAGGTATTGTAGAGAAATGCAGCACGCCCTGTACAATGCACGGCCCCCTAAAGGGACGAAGTGTTGAGGTTTCCTTAGCCAGGTGACGGCGGGTACTACCACAAAGTGGTCATGCCACATAAGGAAAAACAGGTGATGGGTACTGCAGGGACATACAGCACACCCTGTACAGTGTGCAGCCAAATAAAAGTAACAAAGTGGTAAGACTTCCCCAGCCAGGTGGTGGCGGGTACTGCCAAATAATGTTGGTGGCATGTAAGCAAAGACGATGGGTATTGCAGCGGCAAGTGGTGCACCCTGTGCAATGCATGGCCACATGGAAGGAACGAACTGCCAAGGTTTCCCCAGCCAGGTGACGGCGGGTACTACCACCAACGAGGTGGCCATGCCAGAATGGTGCAGTGCCCTACACACCGACAAACACACACAACCACAGCCGCCAAAGTCGACAACAAAATATGGTTCTGCAAGTGTAAACGGTAATCCACTCACCAAGTGAGGGTTCGTGTTGCTGCTCCTCTGCGCTCGCCATCCCCCTCCTGATGGTTTCTGGATCTGCACTGACATAGCTTGGTGAGGCTGCAGCACCACACACAATGTTAAGTACATTTCCAACTTATACGCAGGATAGTAGGTGCCCCAATGGATGCATGGTTTCCAGCCAAAGGCATTCAAGCCTTGGATTACCAGCTTTAGAATCAAGATTGCGATTGTACCCGACTTCCCGCAATGTTCCCTATAGCACCCAGCCACAATAGGCGGCACTCAGGCTTGCTGCACAGAGGTACACGTCCACTGCACCTACACGTCCCGCCTATCGAAGGCGCCCCTGCCTGCTTTCCGTTTCAGCGTTTGTACCACCTGCAACATAGTTGGTGAGGGTCGCAGGCAAAATCCCGGAATGAAGTCAAACCCCGGCCATGATCTTCCCACCCGGCCATGTGCCACCAGGTTTCCAAAGTCCACACATAATCCGCCCCCCCCCGGGGGAAGAATTTCCCAGTAAACAAGCGGCCAGAAGCAGAAGCCCACACTATGCCCACGTATCACTCGCCGGAATGCATCCGCCAACATCCAGGTTTTCAAAGTCCACAGATAATACGAGAACCCCCCCCCCTTTTAACACCCCCCACAGCCCGGAATTTCCCGCCAAAGCAGGCGGTACTGAGGGCGTTGCCCTAGAGGGCCAGAAAGCAGGATAGCGCGCTATGCCTGTGCATCACCGGCGGATTGCATCCGGCCACGCACAGTTTTTTGGCCAACAGGTCATCCGAGGCCCCCCCAAACACCCCCAAACACCCCCCACGGCCCGGAATTTCCCGCCAAAGCAGGCGGTACTGAGGGCGTTGCTCTGGCCAGAAAGCAGGATAGCGCGCTATGCCTGTGCATCACCGGCGGATTGCATCTGGCCACGTACAGGTTTTCGGCCAACAGATCATCCGAGGCCCCCCCAAACACCCCCCAACACCCCCCACAGCCCGGCCCGGAATTCATCCCGCCAAAGCAGGCGGTACTGAGGGCTTTGCCCTGGCCAGAAAGCAGGATAGCGCGCTATGCCTATGCATCACCGGCGGATTGCATCCGGCCACGCACAAGTTTTCGGCCAACAGATCATCCGAGACCCCCCTTCCCCCGTGCGGCCCGGCATTTCCCGCCAGGTCGGCGGTACTTAGGGCATTCCTCAGGCTTCTGGCTATGCTGCTCGTGGGCGCAGTATGCCTCACCTGCTGGCCGAGCAGGTGTTGGGTCCATGGTGGCTCGTGGGGCGGCAGGGGCAGGAGACAGCGGAGGGCAACCAATTATGTGCACAGTCACCACCAAGGTCCGCTGTATGTGGACCCTGGCTGAGCCATGCTGGCAATCAACCCGATCCCCAGATTCGGAAATCAGTACTTGCTGCCTGTGCTCTGCTGTCATCCGCTGATTCGGTACACACGTCCGCTGTCATCCGCTAGATTAGCGGATGGGGTACGTGGCCTCCGGTCCGTTGGAGAATATCCGTTAACACCCAGGTGGAATCCGCAGAGTCCGTTGATTGGCGCCTGCCGTCCGCTGCCATCCATGCCACGTCAGCAACAGAGAGAGCGGGGTCCGCTAAATTAACGGATATTTAACGGAGGGCGCCCTCGTCCGCTATTAATGGATCCGGGTGGCCACCTCTACTATTCGCGCAAACCATTGTAATGCTGCCATGGTGCTATTCGGCATAGGAATAGAACCCACCATTGTGAATGCACGCAGGGGAGCAATGGCACTAGTGCTATTCGGCAAATGTCGCCTTGGGAAGGTGGCACGGCAGCCAATGAGAACCGTTCCTGGATAGCACCACCGGTGCAATAGCACCAGTCGATAAAGATACTCTAAATGGTCCTCATCATGCGTTCGTGCTTATTCCGTTGCGCCTTGGTCGCTCGTCCATGGGCATGGAGGCTCCCGGTGGAAAATCCGCCGGTCTGCCGGACAGCAACCACGACATAGGTTTTGTCTTCCCCACTGCCTTCACACTATCCCAGAACACTTATCTCCCAGGGTATAGGGAATAACCTGCCAGGCCCAGGGTGAGCAAGCTCGCAGTGGTGCCGCCGCACGTATGGCTTGTGTACCAGGGCAAAGCACTGAAAGGTGGGAAGGTGCATTTGCTTCCAATCTCAACATTCCAGGGCCAAGTGTTCTTGTCTGTGACGAGGGTGGCACAACGCCTCAGAACTCAACTCTTCCTATTCCGTGGTGCGCAAGGACGTTATATTCTTCCAAAAGATCTGGACCAATCTAAGAGCCAAGCTGTTTGGTCGCTGTCATTGTTCCCATGGTCAGGCACTTTGTGGGTACCCATGTCAGTACCCCCAAATCCACAACTAGTCCTCTTAAACGTCGACCCAAGATTGTGCGAGCCACTTAAAGGCTTGGAAGAGAAAGGCCCAGGCTGCCGAATACTATCTCATTATCTTCCTGGCAATGGGTGGCCTATGCAAACTTTGGCTTTCAACTTCATAAAACAGACATTTTTGGCACGGCCAAGTGGTCCAGCGGTAGCGACGGGAGGCCGCGGAGCAGGGAGCGCAGGGGAAGGCTGTGTAATTCGTCCTGGATGAGGTGTGCCACCTGGCATTGCTGAGCAAGGGCCGATCTAGCAGGCTTTGGTCAACGGCGTCTGGCAGGCGAACCGCCTCGTTGACGGCGACTTGACAGCCGACCTCCTGTCTGGGGTCGGCAAGTTGGAGGACATGCATCAGAAGGCCAGGGACAAGCACCAGGGGTCGACCAACCAGGTGCGATCGATCGGCACGCAATTCTGCGGGCCGTATATAATATGGGAGTAGGTCGGGGTGGTCCCGCTTAGGTCCCCATAAGGACCTAAGTGCCCGACGAGGCGGGTCCACAGCTCAAAGAGGGCAGGAGCCCCACACCCACAATCTTGTCATGTCATCTGCTTTGTCACCTTTTTTTTAAGCACTCCCTTCTGCCCACCCCTCCCACCCATAAACATTCCCCCTCTCATGGCTGGCCGTTTCTGCCATACCGTTCTCCTTCACCCCCCCCCCCGTGTTCCCCACATGACAATACATTACATTCACACAATTTGGTGTTCATCACCTCACTACTACAAGACCCGATAGGCGACCCACTTGAACGTGCCCTTCGCTTCGCAAGATATTTAATGCCACCCTGATGGTGACTCAACTCTAGTCAGCTCCCCTTTTCTCGTACTCAACTCCCTCTCCTTCCCACAGCGAACTGAAACTCACTCTATTAGGGTGGGCAGGGCGAGCGCGAAACAAGACAATGGGGACGCCAAGGGTCGCGCCTAAAATTGTCGCCCCGACTTGCCGCCAAACTCCCCGCCAAACCCAAGGGCCAGCTTGACCGGTCCCCTTGTCTACTTCCAAGGTACAAGGTTCGCCCCAACTGTCCTTGGATCCGTCGGGCAGAACTGACCCCAAGTATAGGGGTTGACAGAAACCGGCCGTGCGATGGCTCTGAAACTGGCCCAAGGGGCAGAACGGCCCAAATTGGCCGTTGTGCGCCCACCCAACGTCGTCCTTGGCAGAAACTCATTAACAGGATAGTTAATTATATGAACGCCTGAACCTTGCAGTCCACTGGCGCAAAAAAGAACAGTCCACTATCGCAAAAAGAAAAATTCACCGTGTCGACGATACACTCAGGGTACAACCTTGCGCAAATTGATGATCATCTGACGGGTGCAAGCCGCTCCCAGTGCCTGCCGGGCGACAACGCCCCATAGTGCCTTGCCCTCAAAACTCCAACGCGGGATGGACTCCAGCCCCCTCGGGCCCTCCACCTCTGGAGGCATGAACCCGGAGCATGTGGGCCGCGTCCGGGTGCTAGTGATTGGCAACACGGGTATGGCATCGCGCGGCCCAACTCGAACGCCTCCCGCCCGCACCGCGCGCGGCCCTGACCAAGGCGTGGAATTGCTTTGGGTTGGTAGCTGTGGAGGGAGGGGAGATGGCGAGAGATGTTCGTTTCTGTGCGCGACGATATTGTGGCGATATGCTGTTTTGCGGGAGGAGATTGTTGTGCAATCTCTGGTCTTTTGTTTTGTGGGTTTGGTGAGCATGTTCGCCCAATGGCTGATGCTGGGGTCTGGCGGTAATCGGAGGCGTTCTGTGTGGGCCAGGCTGCGGGAAGACCTCGTTGTCGCACTTCTTGGCGACGGGCGAGGTTCTCAAGGCGGCCCAAACCACTGTGGGTTGCAACGTTTTCGCCAAGGTAAGGTGTGTCGTTGCGTGTGGCTGCTCGGGTGGGGTGGGGTTGGGGAGGTGGGGGGGACCTTTAGGATCGCGAAACGCGAAACTTTGCAGATCTAGGGGTGTTTGAAGGCCATGAAGGGCCCAGAGGCTCACGATCGAAGGCTCTGCAGCTGTGCTTTGGTGCCACGATTGGCCCCAGCAACAGGCCCACAACTGCCCCTCTCACTGCAGGCGGTGCCAATCGCTCCTTGTTTGCGATTCTGTTCTCAGCGGGCTCAAGGTCCCGTTCTGACGCTCACAGACGCAGTTTTCGACAAAATTTTGCCTCCCAGACGTGCGTTCATTTTCCTCTGGAGAGCATGGCGTTGGCAACAGGAATCATGGAGCAGCAAGAGCGCAAACCCCAGTCATTGGCATAGGAAACTAGACCAGGAGTTGGTGAATCCAGAAGCACATCAAAGAAGTGGCCCTTCATTGAGCCTTGGTATTGGAATTCCGGGGAACCATGCATAACATCATTCCCAGGCCTCTCCTTCAGTTTCTGATTGGCATACCATTCCATGGCCCTTTGTACCTCAACAAGATATCGAACCTCAGAAGCGAGGAAGCTGGGAGCTTGTTCTATACTGTATTGCAGCACTGTGGCACAACTTGCAAGCCACCAACTTGCAAAATGGTGATTGCCAGTGTTCGCTGTGCCTGTGCAGTGTCACTGGGTCAGCATCATCTTTTGGAAGAGGTCGTGCTGAATATTGCAGTCTCCTTATCTTGTATGCCTCCTGTATAAAGCACCTGATGTGCACCATGGCTTGGATAGGATGCCACTGCACTCTGCTTGTTTCATCATGACAAATGTTGCGTGTTACATGTGGACATCTAACACAAGCGTCTTTGAACAACAACCTGAAAGATGCAAATTCTGCAATGCTTGAGGAAAATATAGCAAGGTGAGATGTATGTGCAGCCAAGAGTTTAAAGAGTGCATGCCAAACAAATCACAATCTGCACTTCAGATGGGCTTTAACTTTAGCCATATTTGTTTGCAGATCAAAAAACACTGAATAGCATGAGTTTGTGTCCTTGCAGCTGGTGGAGTATCCTGAGGATACCAGTGTCGATGGCACCAAGCAGAACCATCGCCTGTACTTTGTGGAACTGTGGGATGTAGGTATTGACCTTTCGCCAGAACAAAGGGGGGGCATTGCATGAGGGTCGGTGCCTATTTCATGCTGCCTTCTGCTCTTCATAGATGTGTTGTATTTTGGTAGGGTGGAATGGCGGGTGGGGGAGTTGGGTTTGCTGATCGATGTGCATTGCATGCACCCAGAATCACCAGGCTACAAAATGTGACCGTGGCCTTTTGATGTGGATGCGTTTGATGTGGATGCACAATGGCCAGGGACTAATCACATGACCGTGCAATGTCTCAAGATTGGGGTAATAGAAGGAGCTGAAATATGCCCAGAACTAGCCTACAATGAATCCTCTTGATAAGGATCTTAATAGAAATGCCTTTCCCATTGGGAGACCAGCAGAAATTACGAGGGGAATATGAGAGTGGGTGAAAGGGTTAAGGGATTGCAAGTCATGCCACAGGCACACATTCAGATCTTTTCTCATCAGCAATGCTGTTGTATTCATTGAGGGAAGTCTCTTGGCAAATGAGACAGCATTAATCCTCAAAACTCAGCAAAGCCAGGCCGTCTGAAATGGGAGTACACTGGTGATGCTGTGACAAGTCAAAATCGAGAGGGATTTCGGCATCTATGCTGGGTTGGCATCTAAAGATCGTCCATTCTGTGTGCGGGCTCTGCAGATGTGAACCAACCCTTCAAGCAGCTGTTGTGTTGTATTTGCTCAATAGATCACACGGAATGTCAACACCAGATAGAACAACGTTTCCATCTGTTTCTGTAAAATTCTGATGTTACTGTAGCCTGGAAATGTTCCCCTAATTGGGCCTTGCGCTGCCCACCTGACAGCACAGGAAGCGATGAAGGAAGAATAAATGCTGGATTCTGATTTTCATAGTCCACTGCAGTTGAGCTACTGAGGCTGTGCACTGTTGCAAGTTGTCGATGTGGCACACAGTTGGTGGCAGTGGACAGCAAAGATTTGCATACAGAATTTGCCAAAGCTCATGATTAAGAGATCGAGTGGCTGCTTGTGAGTAGGGGCTCATCCAAGATACAGCCACCTGAGGAAGCTCTTCTATGACCAAGTCAATGGCGTCCTGCTTGTGCACGATGTGTCTGTGCCCAGCTCACGCACGTCTTTGACAAAATGGGCTTCTGAAGTTGCTAGTGGCTCCACGTTTGTAGCGCCATTGCCTGAGGAAGTGGCCTCTGAGAACATCGGCAGGCTTCCTGTCCCTGTTTTGGTTGTAGGAAACAAGGTGGACGTTCGACAAGGTGGCAGCATTGCGAATTGCAGGTGCGACTTTGGTTTGTTGCAGAAAACTGATAATTTCAATCTGGGGGTTGAGATGGAACCAACATTGATAACTCAGTTCTGCTGATTGTCATTTGTGGACTATGCCATAGCTGCAAGGTTTCTCTTTTGTCCTGATGAGTTGTTTTCAGTTCAATGTATTTTGAGGAAGCATCAAAGTTACATGACGATGAAAGAAATGGTACCCACAGCTTGCAGTTTGTTGTGTGCTTCAGTGCGTTTTCAAAGCCTTCCTCTGACCTCCACCCTGGTAGATCTCACGAGTGCGTGCTGGGGTGGTTGTCACTGTGCTTTGCCAGGCAGTCGTTTACGTGTTTTCTATTGCTGAGACAGCTTTCTGTACATGATTCCTCACAAAACGTGAACACATGTGCAGTGCAATGGTTGTGAGTCTACGTTTGTCCACAGTGGTGGTAGCCACTGTCACCAGTGAATGACCACATTTGTTGGCCTTTCCTTGCAACGAGCGCAACAGATATTTACTTGGAAAAGATGCTGCGTGCATTTGTCTTCTCTGTTCACTGCATGCCGCAGCACTCGCATTTCCATTCCTCTGTGATGCACCGACTCTTTGCCTGTTTGCATCAGTCGCTGGGCATGGTGGCTGTCCCTGCTGTCCTGGCTGTGGCCCTCTGTCTCCTGGCGCCATTTCCCGCTCCTGAATGCCCCCTCCCTGACCAAGGACGACTCTGACTGGGGTATCACGGGCAGTGCGCTGAAAGGCACCATTGACCAGGTGTGTGGCATTTGTGTGTGAATGTGAGCACATCCCCCCAAAATTGAGCAAACCCTGACACAGGGTTTGCCTCTACTAGCGTGGTCCTACAACTAGGGAACTGCTATGCATTGCCTAATGCTATCCAATGTGCATGCATGCATGTGCAGTTGAAGTGTGCTTATGAAGCCTGGAGAACAGATGACGCACTGGAGAATCCCTAAGTATTGCAGGTTGGGCCCTTTCCTGTTTTGCAGCGCTAAGGGAGCCACTAGCGACAAGCATGAAACCGAAGCCTAAAACATGAATGAAAGTAGCAAACATGTACTCCAGTTTTTTTCATAAGATGGCACCCCAGATGCATGCATGTCAGTGTTGGTTGCATTTATCAGTGGGATGACAAGGCGCTGTCCACTCAATTTGCAGGTTGGTTGTTCAGTAATGGTTCTGACTGCACACAGCGTTAGCCTCGAACATACACAGTACATTGAATGCAGCGAGTCTCGTTTGCGCATTGAAGCAATGGCTGTGTCCACATCGCCAGATGCCTTCAACATTCTTTCGATAAGCACTCTTTGCCGCGCAACAGCGAATCACTGGCATGATAGTGGCAAGGCGAGGGCTGGTGACACTTTTAGCTTGGGGCTTTTTAACGCGATCTTTGTTTCAAATGTTTGTTCCTTGCCCTTCAGCCAGACAGTAGCGAAAAGAAATGACACAAAGTTAAATCCCACCACCCCTTTGGGGCGAGGCGCTACAGTGCACACACCATTTTGCGAATCCGAACTGTCCCTCTTCGCCTGCATCTTGCATCTGAGCAGCACTTAGGATGCTCGGCTTCCATGAACGGATGGCATGCATGTACAATGGCTGCAACTATATGACTGTGGCAGTTCACCGCCTTGGCGCCAATCACTGGAGGAAAGAGTACACAAGGTGGAAACTGTGCGGATAGGTCAAATTTACCAGCCTATTTGAGGACGTCTGGCATGTTTGACAATAGCAAGTGCGTGTTTCCATTCACCAGGTGGCTGTAGAGGACTTCTTCTTCAAGCTCATCGAGAGGCGTTACTATGCAAACACGAAGGGAGGCTTTGGCAGCCCTCGGGGGTGGCGCTTTCTTGCGAAGCCCCACAGTCAGCTTGTCAGGGACGGAGACGAGGGGATCAGGAACCGTTTGGACGCTGACGAGTACCTGTGATAAGGCGAGGTTTGCACCGGTGTGTGCTGGTTGAGTTTGGGAATCTGATGACCAGTTGGATGGGCGACTGACTGAGTGTACGATGGTGGCCTTCTGGTGTGCAGTGCAAAAGGCAGCCTCTGAACAGGAGAAGGCTCCAGTGTGCTGTGGTGGTTTAGATTAAGTCTCAGGTGACGTATGGATAGAGGGATAACGAGCGCAATGCGTTGTGGGAGGTTGATTTGTACATAGAGGATTGATGCGTGAGGGGTGACGCAGAGAATGTGATGCCAGTGCTTTGGGATCTGTGAGTGTGCTGGAATGCTTGGGGTATCGTTCGTTTTCTAGCTCCTGCTACAATGGTTGTTGTTGGACGTTGGGGGACCTGAGGGAGACTACCAAGCTGTGTTGCGACACCATGAGTAGTTTGACGGTAGGTGGCTTGATGTTGATCAAACTGTAGCGCAGGCTGGGACAGCGAGAAAGGGATGTGTGGGCCACAGACGGCCTTGGATGAAATGGTGTGTGAGCTTGGCTAATATCTTCCGGAATTACGGTTGATGGCCGACTCAAGGCAGCACTCCACGTGCACTTGCCCCAAGAACATCTGGCGACACAAATGCACAGTACTCCACATTTGGAATGACAAGTTTGGCTGTGACGGGCATGAATTAGGACTGCACACGCCGCCCCTTAGTGCTGAATGTAGCTCCTTGATTCGCAATATGCTGCAGCCCTCAGCATGGGCGTTGAGTTGAACAAGCCTGCCTCCACCACGTGCCCCCTGCTGGAGTCGAAGTCCATTCAAGCGCCCCCCGCCTGTGGACGCACTGCCAACTTGTCGTCGCCCCATCCATCAAACTGTGGTATGGGCCATGGCATTCCCACCGATGGCGGTTTCACTGATGCACACATTGTCAGGGCACAATGGCACAGCCGTTCACACCGAACTTCTCCCGCCACTGGAAAAACATGCAATGCAGCACCCGCCCATGGGCAATTTCTGGCCAGCATGTGCAGCGCCCCATCATGACTAACACCCGCAGTGATCACACACGGAACCTATTTAATTCCGTACCAAATAATATTGAATCTGGTTCCAAACTGCGTACCAAATAGAATTGAAACTCTTATCAACGCATATTTGATCTAGTGCCAAATTCTTGCCGGTACCAAAAATGTTGAACCCAGTACCAATTAGTCATCAAGTCGCCGCCTTCATACAGGCCTCACACACCCCAAACCCTAAACCCTAAACTAACCAACAAGCGCATGCCCAGTGCTGGTCGCAGGGCTGGTCGCATGCTGCCATTCGATGACCAATTGGTATTGGGTTCAACATGCTTTGGTACACCGTTCAACATTTTTGGTACTGGCGCGAATTTGGTATGTGTTGGTACTACTAGTTTCAATTTTGTTTGGCATGGCAGCAGTCTGGTACCAGATTCAATATTATTTGGTATGGAGTTAAATATACGTGAACACACCTCCGCCAGCCTCTAAGTCGGTCTGTGAAGACGTCGTGTTCCATTGCGAATGGATGGATACAGCGTTGGGCCCATCAGTCAGCAAACCTTCTGCAACAGCCTTGTCGGATGGCCAAGCGGGGTCTCACACTTGTAGCCAAACCAACGGAAGAGTACCAGGATTTGCGAGTGCCGCATGTCGATGGACAACTCAAATGGCAACTCAGCTTTAGCGAGTGGCCTCTCCACAGCCATTCTAACAAAGTCCCAATGTGCCTCATATACATGACCATATCCACCTTCACATATCAGCCGCTTCAACACAATAATATCTTGGGGAATGATCAGCGGCAATTTCAGGCCATGTTCATGGGCGCGCATGATGGGCATCCAACAATGGACCAGCTCCTCATTGTCGCCACTCTCCTTTACCTTGAGGACGTCGTAGAGCAGCTTGTGCAAGTTGTCCCCGGCCTCTGGGATGCAAGGTAAATTCACATCGCCTTCAACTGATGGACAACATGTTCGATGGAGACAAAGTTTTCCAAATCTGGAGTTTCTTTTAAAGATGTAAAAAATGGAAGATCCTTTTAAGCGTAAGTGGGAAAATTGGAAAAAAATGGAAAATTGGAGATTTTTCTAAAAGAGAACCAGGCCGCCGTGGTCCAAAGCCCCTGCACATCTATGCCATCCGGCGGCGCGACGTGGCGCGGCCCACGCCCCAAACTCCCCTGCACCATCTTCAGCTGGCAATGCCCCCACTGCGCATAAAAACTGGTCCAAACGGATCAACGAATCCCGGATCGAAAATCGCCCAACGCCGCAGCTCCCCTCTTGCCCTCATGCCAATTCGCATGTTTGCATTTGGACGCCTCATGGCAACAGAATCCAGTCCTGGCCGCCGCACAGTTCCCACCATTTGAAATCATGTCCGCTTCCCCACATGTCTGGGGCGAGGGCCGCGACGCGACTTGCACGCGTGGGCACAGGCACACGCGCAGAACGCAAGTTAGAAATCGGCCAAAATACACGGTTTCGAACGGTGTTAAATCGAGTGAACCGTTTCAAAACGCGCAAAAATCATGTGCACTCACTCAACCGTTGCTGCACGGTTTGGTTCCGATTTCATATGACAAATACACGATTAAAACGATTTGTGCACGATTTTCAGTCGTGTTATAGGGTACATGATTTCCGGAACCATGTATTTTGCTTTTTTGCCAGTGAAAGAAAGGAACATGTTGCATCCATTTTGGTACGTTGGGTGTCAGATTGACGCTAAAGGGGGAGGGGTCCAGATCTGTGGCGCTAATAACTTGCACAATGCCACAAAAATCGATGCACGCTAGCAGGAGGCACCAACAGCTGCTGATCAGTGGCAATAAATCATGACATTGTTTGAAGAATACCCCTGTCGCGTTATGTGTCCACAGAAACCCCAAAACTGTCACAATTGTTAGCCTCCAGAACTGGCTACATCGCCTACAAACTTTTCGAATACCCCACATTTCGACCCTTGCAATCTCTGTAGTACTGGCTGTTTGAGTTCCTTGAAGCCGTATTGATGTTGTTTGGTGCCATTAGGACATGTTTCTGAGCCATACTTGCATTGACATAAGTACTAACGTCAAGAAGAAGGGGAGGGAAGGAGGGTCTGAGCATAACGTCAGTTGGCCGCAAGCATACCGTAGTGTATTAGACCTTCTGAATAGTAACATAATGCTGGGTTCTTTTTCGCGGAGCTGTGAATAAAAGTGCAACGGTGGTGGAAGGAAATGCTCAGCAGCCGATTAGTAACGCTCCAGGAAGCTTCAGGACGATCAACCCACGGCGCCGTTAGGTACCCGCGCTCCACCCGAAAGTCGTCTGGAAATCGGCCCTGCCGCGCCAAAACCGGTCCCAGCCGCAGCGCGAGAGTCTCTTGACTTCCCGCGGTGTCTGGCGGCCCCGCATGAGTCGCGGCCCGGTTTCGATATTGCGTGTACTTGCTGAGCTAAGATCCCCCTACGTACCCACAGGTACCAAATAACGTAAGATACTTAAGGCCCCGACATTTGGGCGACAATTCCCCCTGATTCGAGGGTGTGCAAATGCAACCATTATCTTCTTTTCCTCACTATCTTATCTCTTTCCTTTCTCCTTGATCAGCAGCTGAGGCATCTTTTATATGCGAATAAACAAGCGTCAACTGTCTTGGGCATGTTTCGATTCAGGAATATTATGTTGTGTAGGTGGTATTTATTCAAAACTATCCCTACTTGAAGCTCATTATCCCAAGCAAGCATGGCTTCGCTCTCCTGCTCGTGAGCCCCCAATGGTCTTAACATGCCGTGACGTGTGGATGGATGACGCAAGGTGTGCCTGCGCTGGGACCGGCGCCCAGGGAGGTGGCCCCCATGCGGGGCCAGGCGACCACGCTGACGCCTTAAAAAACGACTGTCCTCCCTTTCCACAGCTTTCGGCTCAGTGGCTCGGCTTGAGCCCTGTGGCAATGGTGGCCCCGCCCGCTGAAAACACCATTGGCGGAAACCGTTATGCTCTGGAGGGCATGTTCGTACGGATCAACACCAGTACACCTGGTAATGGTCGCAAAGCGATTTTCGGACAGCGTTCTTGGATTACTGCTGATTCTAGTGCTCACCGTAGAGGGGAATGCATCAAGATTTGTCAATCCCTTTGCCACGAGGTCAACAGAGGTGCATTATGTTCCATCTACCACCCCTGCGCGGTTCGCGCGACCAGCTCTGGTGCAGTTCATCGCCGCTAAAAGGCGGGCCAAGGGTCCATGAAATGGCCACGAACTCCTTTGTGCGCTGCAAATCTTCATGCTTGTCTTTCACTGCCATCCAGGCATTGCCACTGCCCAGGATTCTGGGAAGCAGACATGGAGGCATATTTCAGAAAGTGCTCAGCCCGCAGTACTCACAGCATGGACCACATCCGGCCTTCTGCCAAATATTGTAGATTTCCTGGTCCTGTTGCCAGAGAAGGGCACATCATGTTCCTCTCTTGATCACACTGTCACTTTTGATCACATTTGTCACAGCTTGTGTCAGTAAGCCAGTATCCACCAGATTGGCCACGTAGGGCACTGGTCTGAATCACATGCATTGGCTCATTCTCACTGTGGCTGTTCATGAGCAAGTGCACATCCTGCACAGCAGTGTGTTGTCCAGGTTGTGGGCGTTCACTGTGATGGCATTCGCCTTGACAACACAAAACGATTACTGTGTGGAGCCAAGTCTGACCGGGGAACGAACAAATACGTGTTGAGGCTGCTGCTGTGCAATACAAATGGGCGGAAAGAAATGCCCCCCTTGCACCATTTGGGCGATATGTTGGTCCCAAACCTTGCAGTGGAGATTCTGAAAGGGAGAAAAATATGTTACACTATAAATTGATCAACAAGTCTCCATTTGCAGCCGGAAAAAAGTGCAGCCGGACGAGTTGGTGTGCTCAATGCTTTCACGTGCTGCACATCATTTCTGCGCACAGAAGCAAGTGGAGAATTGTGTAATACCCATGTTTATTGATTGTGGTGATGTTCGAGCACAGGGCTCAGCACTTGTTTCATTCATTACTTTTGGCTGCAAGGTCGTGCCTGGAGTCAACGAAATTGCAGAGCATCGACGGCCTGTGTGGGGAGAGTACTGAGATGGTCACCGCATGCAAAATACATTGATGGTGAGAATCCTGCTTGGAATTTGAACGGTCATCTTGAAAGGTCAGCAAACCCAGTGTGCTGGCAGGAATTCAAGGTTGCCAACAAAATGCTTAAGAGGTCAGCATTTTGACATGCTCCACATCATGCAACGATCATCGTTCTTCGATGTGCAATATGAGGTGCTTAAATGCTGACCCAGCCTTAGCTGTATTGTTATTGCACCCATGCTCGTGTTCTTGCACTGTTGCTGGTTGGTAGTATGGTATTGTCTGAATCCGTTGTGTTCTCTGGAGGTCTTCAATGTAGGGCAGTTGAAGGCGACGAGCTGTCCTCCCAATCTGCTGATCAGTCGTTTCCACAGTTTAACGGCCCAGGTGTGCAATTTTGCTCCCCTAGGTTGCTGCTGGAAGCAGAGGGCAAAATGTGGCAGCATTGCTTTCGCTGGTTCAGTAAATCTTCCAGAGAATTGTGTGAAATTGTGCAGAGAATCGTGTCCCTACATTGCATATAGTATTGCATTTCCTGTCCTATATCACAATTCTGCTTTCCTCAGTATGCAATGTGCTCAACAAAGCATGCACAAAAATTTGAAATGTGACTGCGACATTGTGACATACTCATACCGTTTTCCAAGTGAATGCTCATGCCAGCACCATGCCATTGTTGTCTCACCCTCTCTTCTTCAGTAGACTGCCTGTGTGTCTTTTAGGTTACGTGCCTTCTGATACCAGTGCACAGTCGCCTGGCGACATACTGGGTGATGGCTATAAAGTGCTTGGATTGATGGGACGGGGATCCAGTGGAGTGACATATAAGGTCAGCTGAAACTATGGGCAATGACAAATGAGCGAATTTGATCAGAGAATGTTGTTGTGAACATTCTGATGTGCACGTGCAGGTTTGGTGGTATTCAATCAAATACAACCACATGCCAGTGTGGGCAGCCACATGAGGACATGTAGCAAGGAATAATGCCGGTGGTTTCAGCTGACTGCTGTGACTTGTTGTATCCACCTTGAATGACTTTGTGCGCAAGATACTCAGTCTCCGCAAGGTGCCTTTCACAAACATTCCAGCTGCTTTCATGCAGCCTCATGCAATGCTATGGTAACACTCTGTGCTTGCAACACTGCAATGCAGGCCGAAGGGCCTGATGGCACAGTGGTGGCAGTGAAGACCCTCTCCCTAAGGGCCATGTCTGACTGGAAGCAGCTGCAGCTGTTCGAGAGGGAAGCCAATGCGCTGAAGGGCCTCAACCATCCAGGGATCCCTCGGTACATTGACTATTTTGAGGAAGACACAGACACTGACAGAAGATTCTACATCGTTCAGGTGTCTGGAGATTTTGCTAATCGGTTCAAAGGTTTTGGGATACTTTTCATAATGACTCCACAGAGTCCCATGGGTTGGCATCTGCTGTGGCCCATATCTTGGTGCCTGGTGAAAGTCATGATTGGTATCCCAAAGAGGAAAATTGGAAAGAGGGCTGGATGTAAAAATGTGGCAATGTTGGTTGCTTCACGTAATACTCGTGTGGGGGACATTTTCGACAGTAATTTGTTGGCACAACTGCATGGCAAAGGTCGCAGATTTGTGAACTGCTGAAATGATAACTGCTGCAGATGTACTGTTAGTAGTGCATAACGCTGCCATTGGTTGGTTCCTGAGCAGGCCTAGTGAATCCAATCATGCATGCACTTTGGGTCAATTCTTGTTCATTCCATGTTTTGATGGGCTGCGATTGACTGGTGAACAAACACTGGGTTAAGTTTTGAAGAATTCGCATCATGCAATGCGATTCTCAGGTATCAGTCCAATGGTCAATCCAACAGCAATGGCTGCCCAGTAAGATAGTGGCTGGAACGTCATCGCCCAGAAAACCTGTAATGTAACTTCATCATGTTCCAACACTCGCAAAATCTGTCTGGAAGTGGCAGCCGCTCCATTATGCATTGAGCATCCTACACCACAACCTCTGTCATGGCTGTGTTTTGTAGAGGCGGCACACAATTCTTCTCTTATTCGTGTGTTGCATATCGAAATTGTTTGGAGACAAGAAACAATGTATAAGGGTACCAAAGAAGGTTGAATTTGCATGATATTTTGGCACCAAGAAAGGACGCAGCCTGTGTAATTCTGCATAAATGCGTTCTGCATCAGTATGCCACGATGTTTTATGTTCTTTTCTATCAGTGTTGACTACTCCAGCAATATTGCTATGCAGGCGATCCTGCTCTTGCACACTTGCATCAGTATAGCAACTTACACATTGCCAGGAGCGTCACAGGCTTGAAGGCGCCGGGACATCCCTTCGTCACTCTTTGAAAATGTAACCAAGGCAGTTGCAGTGTTGTCTGGAGTTGCCATTGTTCGGAATCTTCTGAACAATCTTCCACGTTTGCCATTCGCAGGAACTCGCCGAGGGCAAGACCTTGTCTCAGCTGGTGCAAGAGGGTTGGAGAGTCGACGAAACAGAGGTTAGACGGACATTTCGAAAACCCGCTCGCTGAAGAATCCTGTGAATTGGTCTTGGGGTGCACCTTCAATGTGAACTGTCGCCATGTTGGCGGCCGACTTGTACTCGGAGAAAGCTCATGTGCGTCGTTCGATAGCGTCATGCAGTTGGAGGGCCTTCAGCCACATGCTGGTTGCGGGGCGATGCGCAGAATGAGATTCCGATCCCCACTCCGGCGTTTCTGGACTGTTCAGCTGCAACTGATGAAGCCGCCCTGAAACTGTTGCAATTCACTATTTGCCCATGATCAGCTCGCCGTGCAGCTGTTGGCTCCTCTGTTGAGAGCTGACTCCCCACCACCCTGGATCCAGGCGCGCCGGATCGCCAGGGAGCTGCTGTTGGTGTTGCAGTACTTGGGGAGCCTGCGGCCTCCCGTGGTGCACAGGGATGTGAAGCCTGACAACATTGTGATGGAGGGCGGCAGGGCAGGAGGGCGTGTCTTCCTTGTGGATTTCGGTGGTGTTCAGGTGAGGGCGCGACAAGCAGTGCCCTGTGAAAGTGCACCATTGTTTGCGCATTGGGTGTGATGTAGTGCGTCGTGTTTTCTGTAGATGCGCTGCATTGCTTGCACTGCTATTTTCCTTATTGTTGTTGCGCCGTATTTTCATTTTAGTTGCGCTGCTTTGTACAATGGATGTTGGGCGGTATGTACTGTAGAAATGTCGCTGGCAAGACGCAGTCATTGTCACATTGATGTTGCCTGTCTTTTCGGCAAGTTCGAATAGAGGCTTCAGGCATCCTGCAGCCCGAATGTCGGCGCTCCTGGCAACACTCCTCGCAGGGTGAGCGGCCACCCTTTTGGGGATTTACTTCTAACTCAATTTTCTGCATTTTCTTGGCAGCTTTTCGGGGATATGTGTTTTCACAATGCGATAAAAGCTCCGTGAATACGTAACCTGCTTCCTACCAGACGAGGTCCCTGTTCTTTACTGATAGGCGAACGCTGATTTTGTGTGTTTTGTGGCGCGAGGCGGCTTCTGTGGCCGCTGGCTCCCTGACACCAATGAGCACCATCGTGGGCACGTATGGGTACATGGCCCCTGAGCAATTTCGCGGGGCAGCCCAACCACAGTCGGACTTGTATTCTCTGGGAGCGACGCTGCTGTATTTGGTGTCAGGTGAAGCGATCCTGTCCTCGCTGCGCCGTTCCAAAACAGAACTTGATGCTGCGCAATGTAGCCTTGCAGTTGCGCTGTCATGCCAACAAGGAATCAATGTGCCTGCGTCATTACAATGGGGTCCTATTGGCCTGCGCCATTTTTTTCGCTGAGGCGACTGCGCTGCAGTTATTCCCAGTCGCATCGTTCGGCAAATTTCGCCAAATAATTCCCAACATCCTCGGTGGCCTTGCAGCGAGTAGGCGTCAGATGTCGACGTTTTAGGGAAACTCCATGTAAGAGGGAACTGTGGTGCATGGGGCTGATCAGCCTCGCATACTCTTTGCTGACGTGACTGGGGCACTCTTTGTGGCTGCGGCAAGCCCAATGGATTTGAACCTCGAGGCAGCAGGGGACTGAAAGAGAGGGCGTCATGCGGGTTTGGCAGGCCGTCAACCCAGCGAATTCCGACAAGATCGTCTGCGGATCGACTTCTCGGGCCTCATATCGGTCAGTGAGGAGTGGGAGGACCTCCTGGAAGGACTGCTGGAGCCCCTGCCGGAAGACAGGCTGACGGCAGACCAAGCCATGCGTCTTTTGGAAGGGCAGCCACGACGCCTGCGCACAGGCAAGCAAGGATTTCTGCGGTTTCAATACGCTTTTGAGAGAAGCTCTTTGTGTACCTCCCGGTGTTGTGCTTGCTGCACCGCATTGTATCGACAGCGTGTCTCACTTTTGCGGTGGCATGCCAAAGAACTGATCTTGGACCCGTGTCCCTGGGGGGGGAACACGGGTCGGGGGTCACGGTCGTCATTCTGTAGATTTGGGCGTGCTTTCGTGCAGCGTGCATCGCCGAAAAACGCCTTGGTCATCTCGACTGTGGTAACGCTTGCCAGCATTGTGTGAAGTATGAATTGTCAAATGTGCCACCAAGAATCCACAAAATTGACGTATGGGTTATTCCCGATGCAAGGCGACGATGGGCGTTGTAATTCTCCACAACTGTTTGTTTCCACAGTGTCCAGAGCTCCCCCTCGTCGCTGAACGGGCCAACGTGCAGATAGGGACTTGTCAATGGTGCCTTGAGGGGCCATTGTTGTATTTAGCTTTATCGATATTACAATATCATCACCGTTATTTTCCTAATAAGAACATTCGATTGTAACCGAATAGCAAATTGCCAGGCGCTGTGCCCTGCTCACATGGCGCAGTGGCTCGCGTTGAGTGTCCGCAAACTGCAAAGCTGGCGACTGAATTCTCGCAACTTTCGGCAAAGACCTCGTCGCACTGAGTTGATATCGGTAGTCTGCTGCGACGTGCCGTTCCCGGTGGATGTGGCTGTAGGGTCCATGGGCGGCAAGGTGGGTGGCCGGCAGCCTGCCGGGTCCAAGGCGGTGGTCAAGAAGAGGGGGGCGAATTTGGTGGTGGAGATCCCTCCCGCGGGCATCACAGGTTGGCAGCTGCGCGCTCGCACGTCTGGGCAAACGGCTTCTGCATTCGAACAAGCTGCTGATATTGTAAATTGCGCGCATCCTGCACCATACGAAATTTGCGTCGTGTTTGTGCATGTGTGTCGGCGTGCCAAAGGCACACAACCCGAAAGTTGCTCAATGGCTTCCGTCACTCCAATTAAGAAGATTGCGCGTGCTTTGGGGCAAGGGTGCAGCCCGCGCTGCTTGTCCCTCAATTCTCCCAGAATGTGTGTTGGCACGGTGGTCCCATGGCCGCATGGGGCTCATTCCTGAAGCAGGATGGCGAACGACAGCGGCCCGTGCATTCAGACAGTATTCTAGGATTCGAGGCATGGTTCAGACCCCGGGGTGTGTGCATTAGCATTCCTTTGATACCTGGTTAATGGGTGCAATGCAGAAGCCGAACAGAGCGGGTTCTTTCGCTAAACCTCCAAAGCATGCGTAGTATTGTGGTGGGACGCCTGAGCCGCTCTTGCCGACTCGCCGCTCGTCGCTAAGGCCTCTGATATCTGCCGCGTCCATTCATTCTTTGTTCTGCAGGCGACACAGTGATGACTGGCTCCTTCGCGCTGATATGGAATCTGTTCGTTTTCTCCTTCACTGCCTCCGCGCTCGCAGCCGGTGAGCCTTTGCTTCCCCTTTCCATTGCCTCTACCTTTCAGCATAGACCACAAAGAGAACAATGCGTACCAATTTGTACTGCGTTCAAGGCGATTCCCAACATGTTCAATTTTTAACGGATGGGTTATTTTGTCCAAGCAAATTCTCCAATATACCTAATATGTTGGAAATTGCCAACAGCTAATTTTGCAGCACCCGACGTACGAGGGCCCTGTGCACCTCGCTTGCTTGCTTGCGACAAATAATCATTGTGGATTGAATCAACTTTGGGGATTTGCATCGCCTTGCACTCTCTTGCAAGTTGGCTGGAATGTGACGCGGTGTTCTGGAACCTAAAAGAAGGAGGGCCCGTGGCTGTGCAGGCGGCCTGCTCCCCGTGCTGTTCATGATCCCGTTCTGGGCTGCGGGCGCCCAGATCGCCAAGGTGGCGGTGGGCTCCTCCTTCACGCGGGAGCGCCTGGTCATAGGCCGCCGGCGCTTCTCCCTGTCGCGACAGTTCGCCCTGTTCAAGGACGGGCAGGCGTCGTTCGATGACGGCGAAGACGGGCAGCGAGGCGCCGTGGTGGTGGAGGGCCTGTCGCGGGACCTCAGGGAGGCGCGGATCGTGACGACCATGGAGGTGAACACCGCGCATGGGCGCAGGTTTTGGCGTGCGTGCGTTTCGAAGTACCTTTTGAGATAATTTCCGTTTTGAATTGAATCGAACGCCTCCCGTCTTGAAATACCTTTTCAAATACCTTCGCTGTGTAAAGAGTGAAGAGGGGGTGGCCCCGGCGGCGGCGAGTCTGCGGCTTCGGGAACTGAGCCCTTTTTCGCCCGATGCGTTTTGAGCGACGGCGACAAGGGGACCGCTAGTTGTGGTGCTGTTGCTTGTTTCATCACGTGGAGTATCGGCACGAGTAACGTTGTGTCCCCATGACGTGCTTGCGCTGCTGCGAGTGTGTAACGTGGCAGTCCGAAACCCTGGAATCCTCTTCCCTCGCTGTGACGTTCGTCTTGCACCCAAGCCACACTGTCGAAGGTAGCAAGCAAATGGCACCCTGCATTCTGGCGCGGCGCCCCTGCGTGCAAATCGCACTCGCCGTTGCAGGACAAAACAGCGGACCTTGAAGGCGTCGATTGGCATTCGTGCACCAAGCATCGTTCCGTTGCCGTTGGTTTGTACTCCAAATTCTACACGTCGGTACTGCGTATGGACCTCAATTCAAGATATGGGAAGATATGGGAAGATAAGGGAAGGTACGGGAAGATATGGGAAGATATGGGAAGGTATGGGAAGATATGGGAAGATATGGGAAGATATGGGAAGATATGGGAAGATATAGGAAGATATGGATAATCTGCTTTTTGTGGCAAGCAGCCTGATGAAGTGCTCAATTCCGTCAGGTGAACGGCGTGCCGCAGACCGCCATCTCACTATCGGAGGGCGTGCGAAAGCACGTCTTCGGCGAGGGACTGGACACCTTTGAGCAGGAGTGGCTCGTGCGGCAGATCAACGACGCGATCGACGAGGCCGCCGACAGGCCAGACGCCGGTGTGCTGGCGTCGGACATCGAGAGGCGGACCCGGGAGTTGCGATGATGAGCATTAATTTGGATTCGCGGCAACGCTGTGTGGCTTCACAAACAACAAGCCTGTGTTATCGTTAACTACCGTATGGAGTTACGGTAACTCAGTTTCCCCTTGCATCCGCAAAAGTGACAGTAGCGACTTTTGTGTCATGACCGGCTAATCACTCAATAAGCAGCCCCTTGCATGAGGTGTTGCAACCGCCGAAGGCACGCATGTTCGGCGCTGGCGAAATACGGTGGAAAACCCCTTCCGTGTGACGCGTGTGCCTTGCAATTTTGTGTCCCCCGCATCTCGTCCCCCTTTGAAATATCACACGCTGCGGCCGAATGCTCTGATCACAGCTCATGAACATAAAGCAGCCTTCGTACGTCGCTGTCAACAGCGTCGATTGAGCGCTGCATAAGCAGCAATTGCCTTCGAAGGTCTCGCGCACGTAATTGCTCCCCCAGCCCCTGCAACGGGGATTCGAAAGTTGGACGGCAACGCCCAAATGAGGACTGAGGGGACGCTTGGGGACGCTTGGGTTGTCGTGCGAATGTAGGACGCGAGGGTAGTGCCACAACGTGCGCTGCATTCTGAGACCTAGGCGCGCGATTGCATGCCATGGGGCGGATGTCGTGCGAAATTCAATGGTTGCAAGTTGCCCGAGAAAGACAAAGAGCGCATGTTGCGCGAACGTTGAGTCAGCTTCCCGATCAATGGCGCAAAGCAGATGCGTAGCGACAACCCAAGTAACGCGTCCTTGTAAATGCAAGCGACTGTAACTGATACCGTAACTGTAGCACGAGGCTTTGCCGTCTATTCGCGTGTGTAGGCACAGGACCATGTACAGGGGACCCAGGTACCGCCGTCAGCATAATGTTACTTTAGTATGGCACTCAACTATGGCACTCTGTTGAAGCAATGCTGTGAGGTCAGTCGTGTGATGTGGCGCTGTCCATCTGGCATCGATGCAACCTATGATTGTACTTGATCGACGACCACGGAGCACGTGCGCCTATCTCTGGGTTGGGCCGTGATCTCGCCTGCGTGACACACTGGCAACAGTGCACCCGGCAAGGCCACATACTTCGAAGCATCCAAGCTGGCTACACGTCGTTACATAAAAATTCCCCACGCAGGACAGTGCTCCTATGTAGGGACAACCTGCTTGAAAAAAATGTATGTCATCGTTCCTTTTGTGGGCCCCCTGGCCTGCCAGTCTGGAAATTCCAACAAAACACCCGCAAATTTTCCCCCTAAAACCTGTAAGCTCCTACGTGCCTGGACTCTTGTGGCCCTCCAGTTCCCAAGTGAATGTCACCGCTTCCAAAATTGACGACCTTTCCTTCCACGTGGCGCGTTGGGCCGCCGCAACGCTCTCAGCTCAAGCCTCGGTGCATGTCGGCAGTGCGGCCACAGCGCTGACCTCCGCGTTGAACCGACATGACCGGCGGGCCTGTGCTATGGCTGACACAGATGTTTCTGGAAGGTGAGCTCTTCTTAACCAGAGTTTGACATCCTCTAAAAGACCATCAAATCCGCTCAGCAACACTCCCACTCTCACTGAGCGTTTCCACTCAGAGAGCGACAACGAAGAGGCAACTACTTTCTCCACCATCAACCGGTCCATTTCGAAACGCATGGAAGGTACGCAACGGGTAAGCCATAGATGCAGCCACCCATGCGTCTGCACAGCCCCCGCAACCCACCAATTGCGCACAGCTCCGTGCAGAACAGGTGTAGTGAAGGTTGGGGATGCAGACGCCGCTGCAAGCCCCACCACTGGCAGCGCCCTTTCCGCCCGATGCTGATGCCAACCCTCACTGCAGCCAGGGCCCTTTCCGCTCAGCGGCGAGCATGTAGCGGGAAGGCCATAGACGCAGCCACCCACGCGCCTTGCAAAGGTCAAACAATCTGGGCTCTTTGCGACGTGGTTCAGCCGCTGGCTTGCCATCCTCCCACAAAGCCACAACCCTCGATGCCTTCAGCCTTGCGTCAGCAAGCAGCAGGCAGGCACGCACAGGCATTGCAGGCGATGCAGTGCAAGTGCGCGGGTGTGCGGCTGTGTGTGGGCTCAAGCTAACGCCCCACACAGTTCACAAGCAGGTGCTTGGGGTGCCTTCCAGGTTGTGGCTTTCAGTCTTCATTTCAGCAGGGGTGGGCAGGGCAGCGTCTCAGACAAGGCACTTGGCAAAGATTGGGTTGAGATCGCTGCGCCGAGTTCCAATCGCACAGGGCCGGGGCCAGTTGGTGGCCTTCGGAGTGCAAGGTGCACCCATCCCGAGAGAGTGAGCTGGCGATACCGTTCCAGCTCCCTCCCCACAGCAGGACGAACAGGGTCAGGGGGTCATGCCATAAGTGTTGGTTTCGCAAGAAAGTCTGACAGGCCTAGATTGGCATCCCCATGTGCTACGGCTTCTTCATCCTCAGGGAGGTAGAGCTTACTGAGGCTGAGTTTCGTGTTCACAACAACTTCAGAGGCCCTAGCACTACCTGTCAGGAAGAAACCAGCAGTAAAGTCCACAGCGTCAGATTCAGTCAAACGACAGCCCATCAGGCAGCAGCTCCCACCCGATGGGCACCATAGTCCACAAAACCATCACCACCTACCTTGCACTGGATGCAAACCCGAATCTGTTTCCAACAACTTTTCCAACAAGGGGAGCAAGGCGCCGGCCGGTGGCAAGGCAAGTCAAGCCTGTTACAGACCTTGCCATAAGGCTTGGGCCAGGCGCCAGGGGTTTCAGTACACACAGCTGAACTCAAGCAGGCACATATGGAAAATTTCTGGGTGTTCCAAAGGGATACCACTACCCACATGGAACAAGGAGGTCCCCTGATGAGAACACAACAAACTCAAAGAGCCCTCAGCCAAAACATTTCAGGGGCCCCTGACTGTGCCAACGCCTTTGTGGCAACACAGCAAGCAAGCAAGCGACAGCATGCTTAGAAACATGTGTGGAAAACCCCAAGAACGGCAAGCCAGTGGGCACGACTGTGTGAAGATGGTGCAAGCTTGCCTGTCTTTTGTTCCAACACAGCACCATGTTTCTCCAGCCACTCGATGCATAATGCAGATCCTTCTTCGACATCCGTCTGACAGCAGAGAACCACACAAGACGTTTGGTAAGGGCCAGGGCAGGGCATGAATGGGTCGAACTTCTGAAGGGTGCACCAAAACGCTGAATGAAGGATGTATGTGGGCACACAATATTCAGAACTGAAGGTCAACTACAGTTTTAATGTTTGCATACAAACAGGGGGAAAATCTGCACATTGCCAAGCCCAGAGCTCGCGTGAGTCAAGGTTGCCACACTCAACAGTGAAATCAATCCTGCCACTTGCAATCTTGGGGCCAGAAGCCAAACCATCACAGCCTGGCACTGGAGCACTTTCACAGCCTGGTGTGATTCGAACACTTGCATGTCAAAGGACATCAACGTTCGGCAATCAGATATAAATCGGTTGATGGTGGAACATTTCAGCTGGATATTTGTGACACAAGTTGAAAGTTGCATATAGTGCCTGTCGTTGGCATTGAATGCACTAGGCCTGTGTCTTTGCCAACACAATGAAAACAACTTAAGCACACTTGCACTGGCACCTCGAAGATCAAGCTGGCATGAGCTACATTTGGGCCATGCTCAGCATTGTACCAAATGGACACACCTTCGTTCCAGCCTTCCCAGGGAAGTACACCAGGGAGCAACCGGGAGGAATTTTGCCGTCTTCGCTACTGCTGCCGGGCGCTGCTGCACTGTAGAAGCAAAGAGCCTCTGCAAGGAAACCAACTGACACCGATGGCCTGGAAGTAACAACAACTTGTTGTCATTGCACACATGCATGAATATCAAGGTACACCACATGCAACACAATTAGCAATGCCTTTGGGACTGCTGTCCAGCAGTGTGGTTGAAGGGCAGACTTGTCCCGACAGAAGAGGCACATGCCCAGACATTGCCGGATCAACTCAGGTCACAGCCTTTCTGCACAGAATTGTCAACTGTGCACTTGTCCATACATACAACACCCTTGAGCCCTATTAAGCACAGGGATGGACCTGACCTGAATGCTGCTGCAAGCATCTTTATGAACCCAAATCGCTTAAACCTCAGAACATGGTCCATCAGGGCACGCCCAAGGTTGGGGGCTTTCGTATACAGCTCGAAGAAGCTCCAGAAGTCGTCCAGCTGCAAGGCCTCCATAACTTTCAGTGCATGGCCCACCACGATGTCATTCGCTTCCTGCAGCACAGAATCAGTCACACTGGTGCTGAGCTGGAACTGCCGACGTTGAGAGCACAATAGCAACTATACAGTTCACTGTGCAATGAAAGGAGGCAACTAGCCTTGAAAGCTTGAACAGTCTTCCATCATTGCTGAGAGGCCTGGCTGCAGCACTCTCAGCTTTCAACACAAGCAGCACATGGCTGACTCTCAGTGACCGACCAATCAATCAAACGGACAATCATCCAGGGAGCTCCACTGAGGTGATTGGCAGGCGATCGCCGGATGCCCCGATCACAAATGGTCAGTGAGCTAACATGTTTTAGTGTACACTCGATGGACTCTGCCCAACAGCAGCTGCCCACCTGCTCAGTCATGTGCTGAAGCGTGTTGCGCAGGCCCCTGCTCTCTCCCAGCGCAGAGTGCACTGCTTGGTACAGTATCCTGTACGCCAGAAACTCAGGCACACAGCCCTCCACGCCCTCGTCATACAGACCCTGCAGCACCGACTGGCACTGGTTGAACTCTGCGATGTCGCCATACTCCAGGGCGGCTCGGGCTGCTGCCTCGTACGCGCGCACAGCAAGATGGTTGCGGATGCGCTGCACAGTGCAGTCCTGACGGATGGCCTGTGGGTCCGTCATGCACAGTGAATGCAATGAATTCGTGTTGGCACTCCAGGTAAGTTGCTCGTGTGCCAAGCAGCTGGAGTCAGCTGCTGGGGGAACACATCCCCTTGGCAGCGCAGTTTCAAATACAAAGGCGAAAAGCAGAGTTGAAAGACAGAACAGAAGCATCTGCAACAGTAGAAACAGCACTGAAGACACCACCAAGGTGCAGCTACACCCTGATGCCCTGATTCAGGCATTGTACTGGAAGCATGAGTGGCTGTCAGAGGCATCAGTGAAGCCATGTAGAAATAAAGCATGTCAAACCAGTTGTTGAATTCAATAAAGGTTGCAATTGCCATAACAGAAACATGCCGAGCAACAAGCGTTCACCTAAGAAACAATGCTGCAAGAAAGTCCCTTGCTTTTGGTTCATCGTGGCTTACCTTCAACTGATCGCCTGCATATAGGTAGGTGACCTCCCTATTTCCTAACAGTTTGATCAGCCTTGCAAGTGCAAGCTCAAGCACCGGCTCAGGTCGAACTGTCTCCGGATCAGGAGCTGATGTCAGCCGTAGATAGCTTTTCTCAAGTTGTCGAGAAACACCCTAACAAGACATGGAACAAAACACATCAAGGGAAACAGCTCCAAATACAAGTTCCACAAGAGAAATTTCATCCTAAAACACTTCATGGCAAAAGGCCTGCAATCCCAGCCAATGAAGTGCTCAAGTATGCAGTGACAGATCACTAAATTCAACACATTTTTAGTTCTGCAATTACTGTGTCCAGCAAGCAATAGCGATTCCATTGTTGCCACTTCTCACATCTTGGATGAAGCGATCGGTCACGCAAGAGAAAAACAAACGGTGTTCTTTCCTGCTCAAGTCGACAAGTACATCAAGCACACACGAGATCATGCTGAACTACGTGCGGGTTCTTCGTCAGTGCTGAACGTCGTTCGCCCAGCAGAGCCTTTGTGCAGAGCACTGTGCGTCCATGCTTGCTGCACTTCGAGATTTCCGCATCTACGCTGATGGCAATAGCAGACAATCTCGATCGGGAAGACGGCGCTCATTGCATGACATCCTTTCCCCTCCCGCCCAGCAGGCAAGCTTACGAAACGACGGCCACCGGGCCACCGTTCAGATGTCCGTCAATTGCGCTGAAGCCCACGGGGGAGCAGGTCGCCGCGCCAATGCCAATGCGCTCGCGCAAGCCCCCCCCCCCCCTTTTAATCATACTCGGCACCGCGTCCCCTTCGCGAGCGCAGCAGTCCACAACAACCGCGGGCCGAGACTGGATCACCACGAATCGAAGGCGATCCTCCAAGTCCACTGCAAGCTTCCCAACCGCGGGCGCCGCCCCGTCTGCCGCGGCAGTTCGGCGGGAGGAGCCTGCCTCTGGGCGCGTCTGCTCCATCGCTGACAAGGGACAAGGGGCCTCGCTCTGGGTTGCGAAACCGTGATTCGATTGGCCGGGGGGTGGGTCGTGATGCGCTAAATGCGGAAAGATCGTCGTCTACAGCGCACGAGCGGGCTCAAGGACCGCAGAACGTCCACGAAAGCACGTTGCCAGGAACACCGCTCTGAGGACTACATGACGACGGTGTAAGCTCTGCTAGAACTGCGAGCCTCGTTTGTCTGGTGTTGGGGATTCAGCGGACACCGATCAATACGGTCCCCAGCAAAATCACAGCGTGTAAGTGTACTTAGAGTCAGCATGATATATTCATATTCAGCAAAGAACTTCAGCTCCAATTCAACGCCATCTCAGGAGCACATCGACATGGTGATGTCTTTGGAAACTCTTCACTGACACCTGCACAGTTGCCAGGTGGTGCAGCCAGGACTAGGATGGCAAACTTTGCTGTGACTGTGAAACTCTTTGCACCTTGTCAGCTGAGCCCATCATTGGATGCCATGCAAATCCCACATTGACAGCAATCAGCTTTCACAGGGGCCAACACACGCGTATGCTTCATCAGCCCAAATGGGCCGCCGTGGACAAAACGCTGGCCGGATGAGCGTCCTAGTCGCTGCGCAGCAAAGCACTTTGCTGTGCACGCACAAGTGCACCACAGGTGCTCTGTGTGACTGGTTCCACCACGATGTCAGCGCACTTTACCACTTGTTGGGCGGGACGCGCACCTGATAGCCCCCTTTTCCTGCAATCTGGCAACAATTCTGCCAAATGACAACATGAACACAGCCGTTGCACGTCGGCAAAGAAGTCTTCCCACAATCGCCCCAAACGGGCGAGGCATGGTTTCTCAGGCTTATGACAACGTGGCACAAGCTGTATACCAAAGGAAGGCATTTGCAACAGATGGCATCCATCTGCCCACCTTGATGACAACGTCGCAAAAGTCCTCTTCCCTGGCGTCAGACAATGGGTGAATGAAGTTCTGCTTCTTTGCTGGCTTGACCTCCAGCACATTGTCACCCAAAGTGTCTTGAAAACGCTCCTCCCGCCTGTGCCGCTTCACCGCCTCTGCATCTGGGAAGCTCTTGCTGTTCACCTTCTGCCTCTTTGCGCTCCCGGGACCCTTGCGCCTGTGCAGAAGCAATTGACAGAGGGCACGTTGAACATTTGCCTAATAACACGCATAGCTGGTAATAGTGTGTGGAGTTATGCATCGCCTAATAAGGTGCATGAGCTCTGCCTTGTCATGTTTTGGCCATTTGTAGTTGGACCCTTTCCAAATGTAAACAGAAGATTGACAACAACAGAGCAATGCCAAATCAACGTCTGGCTGACCAGACATCAAATGTGTCCACGTGCATTCGCCCACACAGAATTGCGAAGAGATCGCTGACAGCCGCAACTCAAAATATACCAAGAGCAACAGCCCAGAAACTGTGCAAGTCATCACCTTTAAGGTGCAAGGGCAGGCTGTCCTTTGGTGACAAATCATTGAAAAATCAAAAGCAAAAGCAAAATGAGCAAAATGCGCTCTCGAAGCAGCCCATTCTCCACAGGCATCGCCCAAGTCTGGTCAGGTCGTTACAACATTGCCCAGTATATGCGCCCACACGACCACCAGCCAGTCGCCAGTGCACCTACTTGTATTCATACCCAGTGTCGTTGCTGGGCTGAGAATCGTCATCGTGCTCAACAGCCCTGGCCCCTCTCTTGGCCCCACGCTTCCCCCTCCTGCGGCCTCCCTCCCATTGGTTGTCCCAGTTTGACAGGCTGACCGACTCCTGCATGGCATCAAGATCATCCTCCTTGAACGCCTGGCGAGCCTTCCGAATGATGTGCGACTTGCCCACCCTTTCACCATCCCTCAGGCTGACATCTGCTTCGACGCCAGCCCAGCCCCTGTCGCTGGCATTGACACCTCCCTGCTTGGAATGGGCTCGTTGTGACGTGGACGTGTGGCTCTCCCTGGCGGTTTCATTATTTTCCGTCCAAGCACTCCACCTGTTTGGGCGACGCTCCCTTCTGCTGTTCCACAGCGCAGTAAAAGCAGAAAAGGGCATGTTCAGGGAGGACTAATGCAAAATGGTAATGCCCTTGGAATCACAAATACTACGGGTACCGAACATGCTCCTTGATCTGTTCTCCTCCTGCACTACAATCTCCACCTTCATCTTTATCGCTGTGCTTCCACATTGCAAGCATAGATGTTACTGGCCAGTTTTCAAGCCAGGCGTCCACTCAAGTCTTCTATGAATCTAAGTTTGTCCTTCTGCAGGAGTTCTTCATTGCTTCACCTAAACGACCCTGCTGGACATTCCTCCACACTAACATCCGACTATCAGCACCCACCACACTTCGAAAGAGATGTTCTGAATGGATACATGCGCATCATCGTCTGCATGGTGCGGGGGCGCCATTTTGTCATTCCAAAGGAATATAAGCAGAAGAATATAGCACCCACCCTCCACTTGCAAAGGCAGTGCCACGTCACAGTCCCACAAACACAAGCAGCATGGAACCACACACCTTGACAAGTTCTGGGCCACCGAGTCCGCTGCCGGGGGAGGCTGCTGGTCCAGCTCAGGCAAGGGGAAGGCATCCCAGTTGCGGGACCACAGCTCGCCTTTGGCCCTGGCGTCGTGGATGAGGACCTCGAGCTTGTGAGGCGCGTTGGGGTAGTGCTTCTCAGGGTACCGGTTGAAGAACCGCTCCGCGAAACACTTGAGGGAGCCTGGAAACGGCTCCGCAGATGGCTTGGCTGCATCGGGCACCTGGTGCAGCAGCAACTGTGTCATTTACACAGATTGCCACGTGTTGTGCAGACTTCCCCAAGATGTCAGGCCAGTGTGGCATTTATCAAGCAGCGATTGTTTTTGTGTGCTGACTTACATTCATTCCCATTGATTCATACTATTACATAAACCACTATTTCTTCCATCCCTACCTGTATTGTTCTGCAAAGAATACGCAGATGATGATAGATGATTTAAACTAGATTACCAGTTGCACAACAACGCCTGGAAGGTGTGAGGGTCACACATTCTGGGCACATGCTACCAAAGCAGAACTCTTCTGGCAAGGACTACAGCAGCAAGTGACAGTCACTGCCAATTGAAATGCATTGCCCAGCCCACATGCCAAGGACAGACGTCGCACAAGGCACACCTTTGTGTACTGTGGAGATTGATCGGCTGGCTGGGTCTTCACAGCCCTGCGCATGGGACTCCTTGCCCTCTGCTTTGGGACATTCGGCTTGATGAAGAAGGGCTGCACAGTGCCGGTCATGCCAGTGCTTTGGGTTGTTTGCCACCCAGACCTAATCGACACAGTTGACTGGTCAATTCGATGGCAAGTTCAGTCAATGCTGTGCTGTCAGTGCATGGGACCCACAAGCGGTTGCTTCAGGATTCAACATCCGGTCTGTGAGACCAGATGACCTTTGCTCAGATAAATAGTGCAAGGCCCAACACAACAAGAGGAGAGTACAGCACAGCAGAGAGCAAAACACAAGTTGCGATGGTGTGGACATCTGCAGACCTACGAAAGATCTTCGGTCTTCATGGTCACACCATATCACATCGCATGGTTCACATGGCACACATTCAAGACAATGCAGTGCTATGCTGGCATCTTGAGCCTGCAGTCCCAATGGTTCGCATACAAGGACCACCAGAGTGCAGAAGGTATTTCTGTGGTCTATGGGCACCTGTTGGAGGCCCTTACCCTATGCAGTCTGGAGGCCACATAACTCATTTGAACTTGTTTCACATTGTCAGAATTTTGTGGATGTGTCAAAGAAACAGGAATAGTTGCATTTGGAAATTGCTGCAGGAAATTTTGCCCACCATCGCCTTGTGGGCACAAGGGCAGCGTTGCTATGCACCTGGACATCTGGGTCAGTACAGCATCAGGTGGATCCTGTACTACTGACAGCAATGCCCAGAAGAATCTAGACTGAGTCATCCCAGCAACAACAATTTCATGCAGAAGTGCGGCTCTGCAATCCAGACGCACACTATCAAGGATAAGGTAACATACCCTATCAAGGATAGAGTAACACATCCTATCAAGGATAGAGTAACATACAAGAGACACAGTAATGAGGCAATACGCATAAGAGGCAGTGTACATGGTAACGATTGGATGACAAACTTACCCATCTGTGCGTGTCTGGGACACCTGGGGCACGGGTGCAGCTTGGTTTGCTGCACCTGCACCGCCACAATAGAATGCAGTTGCAGTTGGCATCAGGTCGCAACATCACAACAGCTGTCTCGAAACAGACCCAGCACACCAAGCCAAACGACACACAGCAATACAACCATATCTCAACAGCGGCACACAAACCACAAAGAAATTTCTTTCACTGTATCTGCCAAGAATGAACCAAACATTTGCCCATTCACCAGGGGAGTTGCCACAAAAGCAACTCAACATTATCGCAAGTTCAATATTCCAATTCTTCCCACATTCTGCCAAACTCAGTATGTCACCAGCAAAGAAATAAATACTCCAAACGATGAGCACAGAACATGGGTGTCACAAGGAAAAACAAGTGCACTGCAGCACCCATACTGCACCACAGGTGTGCAAGCCCCGTGGCATCGCATTGGTGATCAACTTTTGGTACCCCTGTCTGCCTTCGTTTTCACGTGGACAATACTGCCCCAAATTAGGAAAGGACACTTCAGCTGTGGACAGGCTAGATTTATCAAACAGAACCCTATGTGCCAACTGCCAGGCCATAACAACAGACACAAGCTTACTGTCAGAGGCCTGGGCAGCAACAACGGCATTGGTCATGGGCTCAGGAGGTGGCTGTGGTTGTTGATTTGTCACGGCCAGAGGGTGATTCTGCACCACTACTTGTGCCTGTGGAGCAGCAACTTGGTTCGGGTCAGCGTAAGTGTAGCCATACTGTGTCCAGCTCTGCTGCACTCCTGCCACAGCATCGAACAACACAAGCAACTTCAGCTGGGGCTCCATACACACGGGTTTGTCAGCAATGCTGAACATCAAACAGTGCTCTGCAGGCAGCACAACAGAACCCATCCCCTAAGAACCAGCACTCAGGTTGACACACACAAGTGCTGCACGGCCCGCCAAAAGGGGCACTCGAACTTGCCACTGTTATTGCCAATTGCTGCGCACTTGCTGATGCTGCCTGGCTGAAAAAGGAAAGAACGGCAAGCGGGGGAAGCCGTGCAGTGATATATTCTGTTACTTGCTCAATGAAGGGATTATGTCTTTCACAAGGTTCTTTCCCCTGATTATGACCTTGAAAGACAGGGACAACACCCGACCAGCTCCAGGGCAAACTACTTTGTTCATCAACAACAGATTGCAACCAGGGATCAATGACTGGCACAATTGCTAAGATAGACTTCCAAGTGACTCTCAGAGGAGGGTCAGCAGATTGATCCTCCATAGTAGGTGCAAATATTGTTGTTTCTTTCTTCTAATCGTACATCTTGCTGTTGTTAATAAATGGTAAAACAACACCAAACAGAATTCATATCTGTGCCATGTCGGCCAATGCCCAACACGTCCACCAGCTGGAGTCAGAAGTCCCCAGCGCAAGAAAGGAAAAAACTGGACTTGATGGCAGCAGACGGCTCACCTTGCCCCAGTGCATTGTATTGGTAGTAAGGGTCTTGATAGCCCGTGCTGTTAAAAGCGCCGCCCTGACAGAAACACACCAAACATAAATTGAGGCCAGATGCTGCGACCTGGGAGTGCCACTTCGACCTGATGGCACTAGCACTTCATCAATGAAAGCGCTGTAGATTTCTTGCATCCCAGTTCCGCATTGTCACTATCAAAGTCTCATCAAGACAACGGCCATCTTGCTGGCACAGCAGCCATCGCCACTAGCACACAGGGAGGCAGGGGGAGGAAACCGAGTTACATACAACACATGTATCCACATTTGCCAAAATGTCTGCATCAAGTTTATGCCATGCATGCAGGAGACCTACACACAAATGCTGCCTACTGCGGATTACAGCCAGTGGCGCCCTTCACACCTGGTAAATTGGCCCCATCTGTGGCCCCACAGGAGGCTGATGAGTGCTCTGAAGTGCCCAAGGATTGGCGCCCCAGCCAGTCTGCATGTTTTGTGCATCTACCCCCGCCCCCATGTTGGAGGTGGTACTAGCAGTGGCGGCCATGGCAGCGGGGGTGTCATCGGGCTGCAGACCTGGTGGCAGTGGGTCCGCATCCTCAGCAGCAGTTGTGGGCTGTGTGCAAAACACATCCAAAAAATACAGCATTAACATACAGAGGAAGCTCTATTTTTCTGCTTGCCACTTTGGGGCCAGCATGGCCTTCTCAAGGGGGATCAAGGGGAACATTTAACAAAAGGGGCTTTCAGATTGAATTGAATTGACGTGAACTAGTTTGCATTCAGTGGTTAGGAGTGCACAGATCAAATTGTGCATCGCACAATAGACTCAAGAGCATGTGAGATAGAACAAAAAATGGCACAGATCTGTCTGAACCATTGATCCCTATCCCTAACGATCACTCTGTAGGTTCTGGTCACGGTTTGGCCATTGGTTTTAGTTGTTGGTGAAAACTGGGCATTCATGAATACATTTTGTTCTCAATACACAGGTTCATTGGGAAACAGGAAAAAGATTCATTCAGCACTGAGGGTGTACTGCGGACAATGCCTGCAATCCATGAATGGGTTTGGGAGGCACAATTCAGAGCTCCCTGGCCCCAAAGTCTCTGGATGCATGATCCAAACCACACAACAATATGCCAAGGGTGTCACATCCAAATGCAATGTGTCCAACAGAATGCAGAGCAATACAACAAATATAGAACCACTGGCGAGCTCAAAGGTGGTGTAGAAACAGATGCATGACTCCTCAAAATGGGATACAGATAGGTTGCATGATAAATGGACCAGAAAACAAACCAAAGGGTGCTTTGCTGGCAGCGGGCCCTTGGGCAACAGAACATCATGTCACCTGCTGCTGGCCCTCCGCATGGCTTCGTGGGTCGTAATCGACAGCCCCTGTCAGTCCCCCTGCTGCTTCTGGTGTCCCATAGGTGGCGCCAGTAGGGTAAGTCATGCCCCCAGTATAATGGGACTGTGCGGCAGCCTGATTGTACATCGGCTGTGTTGTGGTCTGGCTGTAAGGTGACTGTGCACCAGGCTGACCAAACTGCTGTCCATACATCTGTTGGAACTGCTGTGCAGTGTAGTTGGCATAGTTAATGCCCTGCTGGTATTGCTGGAACTGCTGCTGTCCCACATACTGCTGAGCCCCAGCCTGGGCAGCACCAACCATTGGCTGTGGCTGAGCAACCCCCTGATTCATGTAAGACATGTAGTTCGTGGCCGTTGCAGTTCCTGCATATGGGTCCTGGACGGCAACATTCGGCTGTGTGTTGAACGTGCCCTGGGCAAATGCACAAAGGTGGAGGTCAGCAATGTCCCAGGATAAAATTTAGGCAAACACAACTATCGTTGGCAGCAACTGAATGGGAGAGCAGCAACCCACTGCCAGCCTGGCTGCCAGACTTTGCCATATGAATGTAGGGGGCAGTCTTGATATGTTAGGAAAATGGTGTTCAAGGTGATTTCGAGCTCTCCAGATGTGGCACATAGCAACACAATAACACAACAGCTCACAAAAGAGCAGGGTAGACAATGAAGAAATAGAGCAACAGTGCTGGATTCAGTGTACATGGTCAGCTGCAAGATGTACACAAGGAGACAAGATCTCACAGTGCAGTTTCGGTGCATTACTTGGACATACATGGCTCTGGAAGGGTCATACTCTGGCAGCCAGGTAAGACAAGAAATCCTTGCCTGAAAGTACAGGCTCCTCTCAGTGGGGCTCAACATCGACTTTTTCCCCAACCCCCACCCATGGTTTTATGGCCTGATAGAGGACATGGTACATCATAGGCAATGCAGTTGCACAATCAAGCATAGTCACAGCTCCCAGCTCCCAAACAAGGCATGTCCCCACAAACAAAAGGTGGCCATCTGCACTAGGCTGTCGCTGAGTTACTTCTGCTGCAGAGTGTTCAGCTGCATCAGGACCATGCCACTGCCCCCTTCACAACTGTTACACCAGTTCATGAAAGATGAACCTCATTCGGCGCGCTAAAAGGGAAAGAACTCATTTAAGTGGAAATTTATCCACACAGTCAGTGTGGGCAGGACCAGCCAGTTGCCGGCAGCTTGGGATCCATCTTTCCAAAATGGCTGTGTAGGATGTTTGCTGTGTGAGTGCGTGTCCACCGAACAGCCCAGACTCGTCGTGCTGCATGCAAAAGCCAGACACGGCTGAGCTGCATCTGAACGATTCATAAGTTGGCCGATTTTCGTATCAGTAAGGTAATGTGCTGATAATAGCCAAGCCAAAGTGATGGCGCCTGTCTTCTCAATCCAAGCAGGCAGCAGACGGCGCCGCGGTGGCGGTCTGCCGCAATTCACCAAACACTATGCAAAGTGCACTGCAACCCTGTGGGCCATGGTGTGTTTTCGTCGCCAAGGAACCAACGGCTCACTGGAAACCACCATGCTCTCCACCAAAGGTGGCACCTTGGCAGGTGGCTGACGCGTTAACAACACCGACGGGACACCAGCAAGGTCTGGCACGTGCAGAGCTGTGGTAACGGCCCTATGGGGGACGCAGGCGCCCCTAGCTCCAATCCCTCCCCTAACGCCCGATTGGGTCGCCACGCAACGAGGCGCTCAAGATCGAGCGGCTCACAGCCGGTCTGGCCGGTATCGGAGCTCAGCCAAACCGACAAGAGGCCCGCAATGGTTCAGACCGGGGGGCCCGTCCTCCCAAGGTCGCCCACCCTCACCCCCAATCCCTTCCTCCGCACATCCACCCTCTGGGCAGCCACCATCAGATGCCGCCAGCAGACCTCCCTTCCCATCCCACCCCCCTGCAGCACTGCGAGAAAACCCCCGCCATTGGCAACCCACAATCACCTGCTGGTAGGACGCCATCCCGGCCGCTGGGCGCCGCTACCCAGCAGCTCACGCCCCCACCACCTCCAGCTCGGAAGAGCGAGATTCTACCCCAGCCAAAATGATCCACCCGGGCGACAGGCCGGCGCCGATTCTCTCCCGCACCGATGCAGCGCGGCCGCAGGTACGGCTCCCCCGCGCGGGGGGCCGCGGCGGGGCGATTGGATCGCCGGCGCGGGTCCGCCCTCCGCTCAAGTCCGTTCCCTTCTTGATGGGATGAGCGTTCGAGCTGGGGGTGAAAGACGGGTTGCGGGAGTGGGGCACTGGTGAGGGGGGCTTGCCCGTCGGCGTGTTTGCGCGGGTGCGGCGCACCGTGGGGTGTCCAGCCCCCGAGCCCCATTTTGTGCGTCTGGTTTCATTTAGTGCGTTGATTTCCGGGCAGAGGCACATCGCTTGGGAGCCCCTGGAGATAGACCGTGTGAAACTGCTGGGCCGCTGCCAGAAACTGGAAAGGGATGCCCTGACGCATCTTAAAATATGCAACCCTTCCGCATCAGAAAAGTTTACCGTTACGCCTTTTGCTCTACATTTTTTTCAGAGCATTGTTTCTTTCTTTTGGAACCTATTTAACTCCGTACAAAAACATGCTGAACCCAGTGCCAATTGGACATCAAATCGCCGCCACCATACAGGGCTCGTACACCCTAAACCCTAAGCCCTGAAAACCAAACCAATCAACCAACTGCAGGCCCAGTGCTGGTCGCAGAGCTGGTCGCAGGTTGCCATTCGATGGCTAATTGGTACTGGGTTCGACACTATTCTTAAGCCGTTCAACATTTTTGGTACCCGCGCGAATTCGGTATCAGATTCAATATTACTTGATACTATTTTCAATTTTATTTGGTACGTTAGCAGTTTGGTGCCAGATTCAATATTATTTGGTGTTATTTCAATTTCATGCGGTATGGCAGCGGTTTGCTACCAGATTCAATATTATTTGGTACGGAATTGAATATACGTGGCTTTTTTTGTGTTGCTCCGCAAAATATGGCCACATTTACCTTTTCTACGCCAAAAAGGCCAAGCGTAACGTTTCTATGCGGCAGGGTTGAGTATTCTACGTTTGGCACGGCGGAGAGTCGAGGGTTTCGACTCGAGGCGCTGGCTTTGGTTGTTGTCCTTGTCACAACGGCAAAAGAAGGTTCGATGCTCAAGCGCAGGGTGGCAGAGCCATCAAGGGGGCTAAACATCCAAAAAGCCAAAAAGCCAGCGGTCCTCTGGTCCTTTCCAGCATGGCAAGGCGAGCCATCCGTTGCCAAGGCTGCCAGCAACATCCACCGTGGTGGTTATTGAGCTTGGGATCGAAAATAATGGAGCAGAGAAGTTTCTTGTGATTCTTAATTTTATCGTCTACGCATTTGTTCCGTATTTTGAAATGTGAGGGACGCTGAGGAAAGCAGCACCTCCGCGGCGGCCGCTTTTCACAGCCACGAGTGCTGGCCGCAATGTGCCGTGCGCAGTGCGCAGTGCGGATGTCTGAATGGGACTAAATTGGACTCAAATACCATTGAGTTGGCTATTCGGCGTCGGCAGGCGGCGAACGGGGTCAACTCTGGAGACGTTCAACGACACAGCAGCGACTGTTGCCGCGCCGCCCGAACGAAGAAATGCTGCACAGCGCCTTGAGGCGGGTGTGCACCCTCGGGCTCTCGCGGCTGGGCCGCGCCTGCAGCGGCTCCCTGGCGGACGCGCAGACTCGATTGAGGACATGCCTCCCCGACGTCCAGGTGCGCCGAATGGTCCATCGCCAAATTGTTGGCGAGCGGGCGTCTGGCTGCGATGACGCCAATGCCTTGCGAGGCTTCGCCGGAGGTGCAGCGTGATGGATTCTGGGTTTTTGGTGGGTGGAATGCAGATTGGATGTTTCGACCATTGTGGCGGCATGCGCCATTGCGCGAGGGGCTTCGCGTCCGCGGGCGCGGAGGCTGCTGGCGGAAAGAAAAAGAATGGTGCAGAAGAAAAGAGAAAGCAGGATGGAGTTGAGGCGGAGAAGGGGGAAGAGGCCGAATCAGGAGCTCTGGGTGGCGAAGGTGCGGCGTCGCAGGGCGCGAAGGGCGGTGATGGCGACGCCGCAGCCGGCGCGAGCGCGTCTGGCGATGGCGCCGAGGCGGAGGGGCCTTCGCAGGCATCTGGAGAGGATGGGGACGGTGGGAGGGAGGGCATCGACGCCGGGGAGGAGCAGGAGCTGCGAGAGGAGCTGCGGCTGAAGACGCGCGAAATGGATGCCCTGCAGGAGAAGGTGGGCGATCCGCGAGCCCGAAAGGCACTCGTTGGGACTGAAAGTGGACGGGAAAGCTCCCGAGACGCAGTGGAAGAGCGTGCATTAACGGCCAACTCCTCCCAAGATAGCAATTGAGGCCGCGCACCCTGTGAGATGCGGGATTGTGCCTGCCCACTTGGATAGTTTGCGCATTATCAGCGATGCATGCGTTCGCAACTTGAGTACCAGGCACAAAATCAGGTGTTTTTGTGGCGATCAAGATGGCTTTCCAGGCAACCAGGTGATTAATGCCGGGGTTGTCTGCAGGTGGAGGAGCTGCAGGACAAGCATTTGAGGGCATACGCCGATCTTGAGAACATGAGGCAGAGAGCTGCACGGCAGTCTGAAGTGACAAAGAAATATGCCGTCCAGGTGAGCGTCCATGCACCCCAGACATCCAGGGGCGCGTGCCTACAAAGAATGCCGTTTGGACAGAAAAAGGGCTTGTCATGCAATGGGAACCGCCCTCCCAAGATTGGCTTTTCTATGCTCTATTCTGCACCACAAGGAGCGTGTGGAAATCTCTGTGCATCGGAGGGATTGCACGCAACCGTGGGGATGAGCTCTTCCTGGGACACATCCCCATTGCATGCACACTGCAAGGTAGCAAAAACGTTTGAAATGCTTCAGCAATCTGCTGCTCTTTGTGCACTACCTCAGGGAGAGTTTCAACATATCAGCTGGAGCAGTGTTAGCATGGGCTTAGAGGAGCCAGCACTGTATCCAGTTTCGACCATTCAATGGTTCCCATTTTGAGGCTGTTGTCATTTCATGTGCACCCATGTTAAAGGTGTGCCCAGCCCAGTCCCTCATGTGCTTCTTGTGATTCATTCCATGCCAGAGCCACATTGTTTGTTAGAGCATGCAAAAACATCTGCCTGTGGTTTGGTCTGCCATTTCCTTTCTACTTTCCTCTTACAATGCTGAGCACTTGCATCAGGAGTCAAGGAAAGGAAGAGAGGGGAGAGAACCGTATAACATTTTGGGCCCTGATGGGGTAGAAACTGGAATGGACAACTTGGTGCACAAGGCTAGGAATGTCCATGTGAAAAATTTGATGCCTCTAATTTTCCAATAACAACTGTCCTGATTTCTCAAGGGACTTGTTTTGGAATATGGAGAAGACATGAAAGGATTTGGCTAAGGACATCATTTGAAGAACTACTCGCTTGCAATGCTGCTTTGTGTTGTTTTCTTATATTGGGGGCCAGAGGAGCCCAATGGAGACTTCAGGCTCATCCACACGACAGCAAGAAATGTATCCTGGATAGTTGGGGAGCAGTTATTCTGCATAGCTCAAATTGGAAGTACACAATCATATAATGGCATCGCTCATCAGACCTTTGACCTGGGCCTGCCTGGTGCAAGAGAATATCACATGTGACAAGGCACCATGTGTGCACAATCAGGGTGATGGCCCCGCTGCATGGTCAGCACTCAGTCACACCAAAGTACGGATCAAGCCGAAGTGGCGGGGCTGGCAGTGATTCAATTGTGGTACATATCTGGTCAATTGACTTCTGAGCTGAGGTGCCTTCCCTGGTGTTCACTTGAAGTTCCCTGTACGAAAAGATGTCACACCTGGCAACCACACACAAGGATGGTCCAATTGTTGTGCTGGATGGGATGAGCCATCTTACAGAGACTAAAGCATGTCTGAGCTTGAAGAGGTGTGCTGGAACAGAATTTTGTGAAGGACTTGTTGGAGGTGGCGGATACTCTGGAACGTGCCACGGAGACCATTCCTCCTGAATTCAGCAACATCGAGGAGCAGCCATCTACGGGCGACGACGACCAGCTGAAGATGGTGTTCAAGGGGCTGTTGGATGGCGTGAGGCTCACTGACAAGATGCTCGTTCAGGTGTGGTCCAAGGCCCACCCAAAGTGCAGAGGTTCCTGGCTCCCTATAGACCCAAGTGCTTTTATCCTTCCTCCTCCTCTGGTGACAACCATGGTTCCAATCCAGCTTGTGCATGGCAATCAGTAATAATCATGGTCCCATGCACAGACCCTTGTTGCTGTGGACCGCTTCTGTCACCGATGACCGCTTGCACCACCAGTTTCTACTTCACATATGGAACATGCAAATGGAACCTATTCAACCCTGTACAAAATAATACTGAATCTGGTACCAAACTCCTGCCGTACCAAATGAAAATTGAAACTAGCACCAAACAATATTGAATCGAGTACCAAACTGCCAACGTACCAAATATAATTGAAACTTGTACCAACGCATATTGAGTCTGGTACCAAACTCGCGCCGGTACCAAGACAGTGAATGTTGTACCAAAAAATGTTGAAACAACACCAATTGGTCATCAAATCGCCGCCACCATACAGGGCTCATAAACCCTAAACCCTAAAACCGAAAACCTGAACCCTAAAAAACTCTAAAACCTAACCCTAAACCAAGTGCAAGCCCAGTGCTGGTCGCAGGGCTGGTGGCAAGCTGCCATTCGATGACTAATTGGTACTGGGTTCAACATATTTTGGTACACCATTCAACATTTTTGGTACCGGCGCGAACTTTGGTACCAGAATCAACATGCATTGGTACTAGTTTCAATCTTATTTAGTACGTTGGCAGTTTGGTACTCGATTCAATATTGTTTGGTGCTAGTTTCAATTTTATTGGGTATGGGAGAGTTTGGTACCGGATTCAAGACTACTTGGTATGGAGATAAATATACGCGCTAGGCAAATTGAGTGATGCCATTGTGCGCCTTCAGTTTCATACACGGATCGCCCACAGGGTACCACTTGACCCATTCAAGCACGCAACAAGGAATGGACTTATATGTGAAGGTGAAGGGTGTAACTGTTGTCATGTAGCTTATCTCCCATCACAGAATGAGCTTCAACCTCTGAAGTTCTGTCACTAGTCTCCTGTGTCAGAGAAGATTTGTGCTTACAGGTTTCGGACACCTTCCATTAATGTAGCATGCCAAACCCCTGGCCACAAGTTCATTAGTAGTGTTTATCCAACCCACTCTTTGAGGCCGCAAAGGGTGCAATCCCCAGATCAGTTTTCCTAGGGAATTGACGGTATACGAATATGTATGGCATGATAAGCCTTCATATAATTCAGGCGTTCTTCTCCTTCCGAGGCACAGGAAGTCAGCAAAAACAAACCTCTGTTGCCCACTGCTCTCTCCACTTCTGGGCATTTGGGAACTTGCTGCTGGTGCCAATCAGTTTGCAGTGTGTTCCAATGCACAAACATATTGCAGCTGGTACCTTTGCTGGCATCCCTGCGCATCACAGCTTTGTCACAAAAGGCTTGCATGACAGTCCTAAAAGAGGAAATGAAGGGTAGAACTGCGGGCATGTGAGCACTCCCGCATTGGCCTCATGTGCAGCTGGCATGGTGCGCAGGTTTTCCAGAAGAATGGTGTGGAAAAGTATAGACCTGTCAATGAGCACTTTGACCCACATCTGCACAATGCCCTTTTCGAACTGGAAGACCCAGAGAAAGAGCCAGGCACCATCGCCGTCGTTTCCAAGGTATGATGTGTTCTGGCTCCACAGCAGTGCTTGGAGGGTGAGCATGCCATCATGTACTTGGAATTGGGAACAACATGTGTTATCCTGTGATGCAAGCATCGGTTTCCAAGAATCATCTCCTGCGAAACAGCATCCATGTTGCCTTCTGGTGGTGCAATGCGAATCAGCAGGGCAAGAACCGGTCAGATTGTGTAATGCATCTATCAAGCATGCAAACAGCAGACAGAGCCACAGTCAGGAGGTGCTTGCATCATTCGTCTTTGGTCAATCTGTGGTAAATGACAGACCATGTTCCTTGCATCTGCCAAGGTAATGGTGGGCAGTCCTGGCAGCTTCCGAAGTTGTTCTCTGGCAATTGTGTGAGCTGTGCAAGAGTTACGAGATCAGTGCATTGTGTGGGGACACTAGGTAATGTTGGAAGGGACTGTGGGACGTTGATGTCAACAACCCGGATTGTTTATTTCCTATGTTGCCTGTGTAGCAACAATTATTATAACAGCCATGGAGCGTTAATTCGTGCCCAAATTGTGAAACAAAAGGTGAGGAGCTTTCGCTGCCATGCCCATGTTGCACTTGTTCCTTGGTAGTCTGGCCGGAAGAGCAGACCAGACTTTGGAAAGACAGACACATTACACTCACTGTCACAATCCATGCTCATTTTGATGTGTCAAATTTTGCGTCTGAAGCTGCACCATTTTTTTTATTCCCCGGGGAGCCAGAAACTCGAGCATTTGGTGTTGTCTGTCTAAACTATGCGTCAAAGACCAGAACACAAAGTCGATACCAGCTTTGCTGATGGTAATGGCAGCCCTGAAGCGATCTCGCTTTCTGCTCAGGACATTAGATTGCCAAGTACGTTAAGGCGGCAACCAAATGTGGATATGGCTGTGCAGTAGTGACCGAAAACCAAGAAAATTCAAGGCAGAGCACTGCTGAAAGCGCAACTGACTGACATGCTTTTGGGAGAGCGTTTGGAAACAATCGGTTGGGGATGTGCCCCTTCCCCTTCTCACCCACACCGCCACACAAAAGGAAAGGAAAGAAAGCCCGTCAATATGTGCATGGGCTGCACTTTGGCATGTTCTTCGCCGGATGCGCACCTTTGAAATGCGAAATATCTGTAAATTAATTCTGCATCTGAAAAACTTTAGTTACGCACGTCCGGAATCTGGTGAGTGTGGTGCTTTTTTGCCTGTGGAGTGAGACCGTTGCTGTGTGTGCCACAGAGTGGCTACAGGATGCACGACCGCATCGTCCGTCCAGCAGAGGTCGGCGTTGTTAGGGGGCAAGACGCCGCCTCCCAATAGACCAGCGCACCATCCGTGCGGGTCGTGGTGCATACAAGAGATTTGCAAAAGGGCGAACTGCGCTGCTTAGCTGTTGAGTAGCGTCTGTGCGGACACACCCTATCTGAGAGATGCATGGAGCTGTCGCGGCTGCATTCACCTCATGTGGCTGCGGCTGAAAGAAAGTGGGATTCCGCAACGCCGAATTCCAGCTACTCTTCACCGGGGCATAGAACGATTGGTTGCAGCGCTTCTTGGCCCAGGCTTACAGCAATCGAATATTTCATGACCGATGGCATTGTTGCGGGAAAGAGGCTTAAGTACAAGCTAACACTTGTAGGTTTACCGCCATTCGTTGGCCTGGGAATGCGCTGTACCACAGGTGGTCGATGCTGCGCTCCATGCGATGCCATCATTTTAGATCTTGGCCTGACACTCAACATGCATTTGGAAGTGTGGACGTTTGATTATTGGATCAATATCCAACAAGACCTGAAGTTTCTGGAACGAAACATTGATAAATCCTTGTCATGTTGGAAACCGCCGTCGTGAGAAATTGCGATTTCAGAAACACAGTGAGTGCTCGCAGCTTTCCCAAGCCTTGAGTATCCACTGTCTAGGCACTGGAGAGTTCCGACAGCAGTGATGCGGCATCGGGACACACCTCATTTCCGACTTGATATTGGCACCAGCACCAACCGCTGGAAGTCTGCCATAATATCCCTTGGTGCAGTGTCGTGTTTGGTCTTGAGTGCACAAGCATTACCATGATGGCGTTTTTACTGCTGGCAGTAAAATGCCCTTTACGGCCATGTTTCGACGCCATGCAGCTGCTGCCAATGGAATATCTCATTGCGCCCCAAGAGCGCCCGGAAAGGCCGCAATACGTTTGTGGTTCGCATTTGGCAGTCCTGCCACTGTTGGCGCTCATGAGGAACCCCAGATCAGGAAATTGCAAATTCCCATGGATCGTCAAAGAATGTTGGCTTGCTTTAGACAACAAAACAGTTCCCTGCGTGCTCTTCTCAGCACGCTCCTTCAACCCCTCCTTGCGCTGCTCGGCGCGCGCCCGGGTGAGGCATTGCCAAGTCACAATCCCAGATAAGCACGAGGACGGCAGGGCAGGCCAGCGGATGGAGGGGGCAGGAGGGTGCCCGGGAACGCGGCGCCGCGTTTTCAGAAAGGTGAGCGTAGAATCACGGCCGTGCTCTTGACAACAACCCCCAGTCTGACGACTGTCTCAAATGCCTGTGATACATCCGACTGCGTCTGATCAGAATCAACACAACGTCGCCCTTTTGATTGGACTCCAAAATAGCACATCACATTTCAGTGTCCAGGTGCCTCCCCGGTGCCAGCGCCAGACGTGTGGGCCTTGTGCCACCTAACAAGAGAGTGCAAGGCGCTGTGAAGCCCCCAAAGTTGTTCGAATCCCAAAGATTCTTGGTCTCAAGAAGGACAAAAGAGAACTTCGGCACTTCAGGTGATGCCCTGGTAGATCAGCAATCAAAATATAATCAAAGTAAATCGAATATGTCTCTATGTCTGCCCTTGCACCAACAAGGCGGTGACGCCGGCAGCGTGGGCCCCACACTGCCGCCGCAACGGTCTTCCACAATGCCAGCCGTCCGTGGCAACAATGCTCAACGCATAGCTTTCCAACAAACAGGGTGCAGGGCAGCCCTTGTTTGGTTGGGTTCCACACAAAAAATTCCCAGAAAACCCAAAAAACCCGCAAAAATGGCAAGGAAAGGAAACAATTCGAAAAGTGTTCGACCGGGACCTCAGGGCCACAAGTTATGGCGCCATGAGTCATGGCGTTGGGCGTCTGCTTATCTGTCCCCCGCCCCCGGCCCTTCCCCGCGCCCAACGCCTTAAGCCCCGACCCCCCGCTCCCTTCCCCAAGCCACCGGCCACGCGGGCGACCAGGGCCCCCTCTCTCGACCCGGATCCTCACGCAGCCCGGCGCCCCATCCCAGATCCCCACTCCGAGCGGCCCCCATGCCTCGCGCGTCCGCGCCATCGGCGGACGGGCGCGGGGACGCCGAACGGCGTGGGCGGGCCGCCTGCGGGGCGCCCTCCCTGCGGCGGATCCAGAAGGAGCTGGCGGAGATCTGCCTGGACCCGCCCGCCAACTGTACGGCGGGGCCCAAGGAGGACAACCTGTACGAGTGGACGTCCAGCCTGCAGGGCCCGGACGGCACGCCCTACGCGGGCGGGATCTTCTTCCTGGACATCCACTTTCCAACGGACTACCCCTTCCGGGCGCCCAAGGCGAGTGCGGGCCGAATCGAGCGGCTAGGGCCCGGGGTGGGTGGGGGTGGGTGGGGGTGGGTGGGATTGTTGCAAGACGGAATGACGAAGCACAGTCCCACTTTGCTCCACCTTCAGGGAGATAAGGCGGGAGCCCCGAGCCAAAGCAGGGCGGATAAGGAGGGAATATGAAGTGTCAACGTAGCATGTTCACTGACAAAGGGAACCCGGGCGGGGGGGGGACAAGATTTGTAACAGAGAGAGAAAGAAACAGCCCATACAAAGGGCACCACCTCCCTGCTTGCGAGGCTCTTTCCATGCTGTGAGAAGATGGTACAGAGCCTCCGATGCGCAAAGATGAGCACAAAACACAAGCAACTCAAGACGCAAGACAACATGCACTCAGGGGGCGGGGGGCGGGGTGGGGCTAATGCCCTGTTACTTGGTCTTTGCCTTGCCTTCGACAAGACAAAGCAATGCCCTCGCACCAGGCGATGATGGACGTGTTTGCCCCCAGGAACTTTGTGTGTGTCCCCGATCCGTCCATTTTATTGGCTCCTTGCCCGTGTGTTTGGATATTGGTGTGTGATTGGAGTCCTGGCGGGCGAGGCGTCCGTGAAGGCGCTGAGCGGTTGGGTGCAAACGGGGCTGGCTGGGTATTACTTGGCCCCGTTCACGGTGCCACAAAAAATCTCGAAAACACTGGTTTGTAGTGGGGCGGGGCATCAAACAGACTGTTTTCCGCCTGTTGAGAGCTGCTCGCTTGTCCTCCTTGTAATAGGTGCTGGCATGATTCCCACAATATGGAAAATGATCCCAAGACGGCTTTGGTTGGGATGCCCTGTTTGTGGCTTGTCTTCTTCGCCAGAAAGCTCTGCAAATTTCGAACGTGAGGTTGTGCCCTCGTTTTATGGGGACGGCATGGCGTGAACATTCCTTTTACTTAGCTTGCATTGAGCATCGAGAGCTCAGCATAATCGCTTGCATGGCGATGATCATCGGTGGCATCAGTTCCTTCTTTCAACGCCCAAATGTCCCCATTTGCATCCCTGATGCCAATAATCTGAGAGTCTGTAGTTCCACATTGGCTCTAAGCCCCACTGAACAATTCGCCCGGCCACAGTTGTCCTTGCAACCAACAAGCACCTGGGTTCCCATTCGAATTTGGCAATTGTTGCATTCAGTGAGGGTATTTCCCTTGTGTCTGGGCGCTCACTTCAAGTAGATGAAGGGGGCTATCGAACAGCTGTGGGTTGGAGCAGCAGCTGACAGCATGGCAACAGGTCCAATTAGGTGTCATCTGAAGCTTGTTCCAGAATGGAGTTGTGGGCCAGTTTCTGTCCTATCAGGTGGATGACAGATGCACTTGGGCAGTGGATAAAAGTAGACAGCAGAAACAAATGTCATGCGCTCAGTAGCTCTGGCAACAGTGCTCCCCTGATAGGCGTGAAGCCCCCAAGACAATCACAGCTCGGAAGTGCTTGTGCATGCACTGACAGCATCATACAAGGATAGTGCCAATTTTCTTCAACCAGGGCAAGGATGGTAAAATTCTTTTATAGAGGCATAATTCCAATCAGTGAACAGCCATGGTCGCAGTGAAAGCGGACCACTCTGCCAATTTAAAATTGGAATAACTTGTGTGCTGAATTTTAGTAATGCTGTTATTTCGATTTTGGCAATTCATGAAGGTTGTTTGAATATTGACAACATTAACATCAGCTGATTAATTAGTACATATATAGTTGAAATTTGTTTACAAACAATTTGCAAACAAGCACAGACACCTACAGTCTCCACCTCACAAATAGAAATGGAAACGACTGTTGGCCCATCGTGCGGCACCCAGGGCACCCCCCAAACTTCGCCATCATGTGCACACCCGACCACACTTTATCCTCATAGCCAAGCACGCCCCCTGTGTGCCCCTTTGGCGACCATCGGTTTGGCCCTGCAGGTCGTGTTCAAGACACGCATCTACCACTGCAACGTCAACAACTCCGGCCAGATATGCCTGGATGTGCTCAAGGACCAGTGGAGCCCGGCGCTGACGGTGTCCAAGATCCTCCTGTCCGTGAGCGCCCTGCTGAGCGAGCCCAACCCGCATGACCCCCTGGTGCCCAACATCGCGCAGGAGCTGTTGTCGGACAGGGAGGAGCACGACCGTGTGGCGGCGGAGTGGACCAAGCGGTACGCCATGTCCTGAGCCCTGGGCGGCGGGGCCCGACCGGCACGCTCTGGGCCCCAGGGACCCTAGCGGCAGGTATGGGCGCCTGGACCGACCAGCACGCTCCATGCCCCAGGGAGCTTGCCGGAGGCTCTGGGCCCCTGGCCCCTGACCTGCAGGCTCCTGGCCCCCAGGACCGGACTTGCTGGCCCTATCTGAACTCGGGGACCTGAGAGTTGCAACGATGGGACAGAGACGCGTAGAAAATCTTGCTTGGAATTGTTGGTCGAATAATTGTTGCTCGGGATTCTTGCAAGGCAAGAGAACTGGGATGTGCCGTGTCAGTTGGGCGTTCATGCGCGCACTGCTATGTGAACTGAGGCAGGAGAATGGGCAACACGTAGGAGCTACCCCTCACAACGGGAGCAGCTGGGCACTTGCCACTTTTTGGCGCGATGGGGACAGGGTGACTACAGGAGCAAAACCAAAAGCGGGGGACGGGGGCGTCGACAGGCACTCTGGGGGTTGGGGCTGGGAACAGTTTCTTGTGGAGTGCATGAATTACTGCAGGAGGTGTAAAAATGGAGGGAGTGGGATGCGTGGCCACGGTTGCAGAGTTGTTCAATCCATGCTCTCTGTTTCATTCCCTCCCTGCGTGGTGGTCGTCCAGCCGGTGCTTGTGAACACATATCCCTGACCGTGCACCACCTAGCAATCTAGTTATTGGGCATTCAGAAAGTCTCCACAGCAGTTGTGCAAGCCCTTATATGCAATTTGCATATCTCTACTTGCATGTTTAGATGCACATCAAACTCTTGCTAAATGCCCCGGCTAATGCGGTTTCCATGGACAGACAGGATTGAACTGCCGTACAAACGCATCAGCTGGGATTTGCACAAGCCAATTACATTTTGACAATGGCAGACGTTCTTATTTGTGTCCCGTACAACACGCCCCATTCCATACCCAAGATTCGAAGCTATTTCCTTTACATCCAAGAAATTCCCAATGGCACAAAATGATGTCTGAACTCCGCTGATCGCTAGGTGCCACTTTCAGGGACAGATGTGACATCATTCTCTTCACCGTGGAATTCGCCCAGCATGTGCATCAGAGCCAATTGGTAGAGTTCCCCCCTAACTTCATGTTCCAGGTCTGAAAGCCCCAATTGACGTCCATGAGCTTGACGTGTGCACCATTGTAGCATGCAGGCCAAGCATGAGCACCCTTCCACAGGCGAACCCAACAATGGCCAGTGAGAACGTCTCTGGAAGGATGCCGATCTCTAGTTATTCTTGATCTGTTGCTGTGGCGAATGCGGATCAATCACCCTCCCACTCAAGCCAGCCACCACAATTCACATCAGGCCATTTCCATCTTGCTGCTGACCCACAGGCAAATCCATCCAAGCCATTTGCCAGCCTGATTCTGAGCAAATTTCCCAACCCAATCTGTGGACTTCACTTTTCGGCATAGGGACTGGATCGTCCATGACCCTACTACCAACCGCTGACTATGTAATTTCCAGATCGGTATTCATACCCCATGAAAACCTGCCCAGATTTCACTTCCCTTCTGGTGCCTGACTCCTCAATCGACTACCCTTGGCTGTCGCCAGCAGGTGCGGCAGCTGGCTCTGTGCTGGAATCAAGTGAATTCTCTTCATTGGACCCAGAGTCTGGGCTGCTGGCCGATGGTTCACTTGACTCCGAGCTCTCCTCACTTGGTTCATCGGATTTGGGGCTTTGTGCAGGTGGCTCTGCTGCTGGTGTGTCATCAGACGTAGGGCTTGTCACCTCTCCTGCAACTGGATTAGGAGCTGAGTCCACAGAGGGCTCCTGCGCTGCCTGGCTTTCTACCTCTGACACCGGACTTGAAGTTGTGGGGGAGTCCGCAGATGGAGCAGCTGGTGTTGAGCTGTCCCAATCTGAGGCTGGGCCTTCAACTGCAGTTTCCTCCACTTCCAAAGTCGCTGCATCGGCAGCCTGTGTCTCTGTGGCCTGGACTGCTGGACTCTGGGCTGCCACCTCTTGTGCCTCCACGTCGCCATCATCAATACCGTCGTCATCAACACCATCATCATCGATGTCATCATCCTCCACACCATCATCATCGATGCCATCATCATCAGTGCCATCGTCAACACCGTCGTCATCAATGCCATCATCCTCAGTGCTATCGCCGTCGACGTCTTCAACAACTTCCTGGT